GATGGCCCTCCATTTCGCACCACCTAAGAAACCCTGGAATGATGCGATCCCCAGGTAAGTTTTTGTTTTTTGTAAATCACAAGTCACTTGGGTTTGGACCAGTGGTGCAATCACACGTTGGTTTGGCCTTTTTCCCTCATGGCCCACCGAGATCCACTCGGACGTCGTCAGTTCGGACGGAAGGGGCGGAGTTGTTTTGCTCGAGGCGGCGAATCTCCGTGTGGCCGAGCAGTGGGTGGCGTCCTGGAAGGAGAAACTCGACCCGTGGGAAGGGTCGAAGGGCCTGGTGGGTTGGGGTTCGAAGACGCTGCGCTTCCATCGAGTTCGACTGGACTTGAGTCACCTTTTTGGGTTTGTTTTGTTTGGCCATCCACTCGGTCGGAAGTGGGTGCCAAAACGTGATCCGTTTTTTTTTTCCGGAAGTGGTCGAATTCTTAAGCTTGGATAAGTTTTTCGATCCACGCGGCATGTCCGGTTTGCCTGGACATGGTTGTGGAACAAGATTGAGTCTTTGGGACCACTTGAACAGTTTTGATTGAACCAACGAAAAGGGAGGCCAGAAGCCCCTCCGAACGCGGAAGTGCACAGGCCTCTTTTGGTAGACAGTCGGTTTGTGCGCTTCCATGTTTGCTGGTGGGAGGGTACTTGGGTCTTCGGCCCAGTCTGTAAGTTGTTGGCAGCCTTGGTCCGTAACCCACTTATACAGTGGAGTTAGCCGTTTTTCTCCGTGGGTTATAACTTATAACCCAGGTGAGTAAGCACTTAGCAACAAACATCCGAGTACCCAGTTGCAAAGCCAGTGTTCGGTTGAAAAAGGACGCCCTGTTGGGGCTGACCATCTTCCACTGCATCCACCGCGTTTGGGGAATTCACCCTTCTCGTGGCCAAAGTTGTACTGTGACCACAGGCATCCCCGCACAGTAGAGAGCCCAACAGGTAGGACCTTCCCACCAGGAGATTCTCCACACATGTTGTTGTCTTTTTCTTTTTCCTTTTTTCCTCTTTTTTTTTTTGGGGGGGGGGGGGGCATGTTAATCTCCCTTGACAAAAAACACGTCACATGGTTTGTCTGGGCAGTTTTGGGATAACTGGTTAGGGTGTTGTTTTTCCTCAAAGCCAGTTAGAGTTGTCTTTTTGCAACTATCCCCACCAAGAATGTTTCGCAGGAAGAGGGTAGATGGGTTCCCCCCCCCCCAAACCACCGGGCTCCAAAACACCAAGTCTCACTTCTTGAGTTCCTGCGCTTTAGTCACTTTTTCGGTTCGGACCACGTTGGCGGGTAAAAACCAACCAGCTCCAGGCGACCTCTTTGTTGGCTGCCACCCCGCCCTCTCGGCTCGGCTGCGAAGCCGAGCGCTTCGTTTTCTCGCCCCCCGAATCCCCGCGTCGCTGGAGCCCCGGGAGCCGCGCGTCGCGACGCTCGTCGCTCGTCGGTCGTTGGAAGTCGCAGGAGATGGCCCGGAAGTCCAACACCATCATCGTGCCCGCCAACGCCAACGACGCCTCCGCCATGGTGGCGGCGGCCACGGGGATCATGACGCCCGATGCAGCGGGGGGACGGGGGGATTGGAAGGCGGTGGGTGGTGCAAGGGGTGGGCGGGTTCCCCAAGCTTCCATTTTTGCGGAAGCGCGAGGTGTTTTTCTTGATTTTCGCTTTAAGGGAATCGATTGTCGGGAGGAGAGCTTTGGTTTCCCCTTCGATTTCAGGACTTGGAGCGGGGAAGGTCCAAATTTAAAGATACCAGGAGTTCTGGCTAGGGACATGATAGCAGCATAAGCCGAAGAAGGGTACCTGGCACCTTTTTTTTTGGCCATGGGCTTTGGAGGAAATTTATGACCACTGGACATGTCTCTAACTTTCCCCAGGTGACTTAGATGAGCACATGGAGGTTTGCATCCCTTTTTATTCCCGGAGGGGGGGGGGGGTTTGTCTCCAAAAACCAAATTTGGGTCTGCTTTGTTGAGGGTTCCACTTTGTGGTGAGGAGAGCCCAAACAGAAAACCACCATTTGGGAGTTGGGAGGGTCCTCGAAAGAAAGACACACCCGCACAAGAACCCCCGGAGACACTGTGATCAACATCTAGCAGACTGCCACGAGATTTGGATTTCCTTCCAGAGGTCCCATAGACATCTCCAGAGGCTCCAGTTCTTTTTTGGCCATGGACCGATTCTTGTGTTGAAATGGACCATTTCGCTGCTGGATTGCATGCCTTCTGTTTGTTGGTTTGAAAGGAAACGCATTTTGAAGTTTGAGGGGCCAGCTGAAAAAAGTCACAGCCATATTTGGCCGGCCACATTGTAAAAGCTCAAAAGGAGGATCCCACGACTGATCCTAAGCTTGCCGGCTTCAAGCTTCCCACCAAACGGAATGGCCATCTACAACCACAACTTTGAAGGAATGACCAAGACGCTTGGAGATGATGCAAGCACAAGACAGCAACCTCGCGGGTTGTGGGAGAAAATTGGGGACCAGACCACGTCACGTCCATGACAAGCACCGCCAGCCGCCTTTTTTTTTGGGGGGGGGAGGCGCGGTCCCGAGCTTCGATCGATCGATTCGCAAGCTCGATGCACAAAGTCGGATTTTTTGGGGTGTTTTTCGGTTTTAACCAGCCATTAGTTGGGGCTGCATTGGTGGCTTGGGATTTGAACTCCATCTTGCAAAGAGTACATGAAAACCCTCCCCTTATCCACCAAATCGCCAATCCAAACCACAATGGAAGGAAGTGGAGTGCTTTTTGTCCTGTTAGTTTTAGAATTTCAAAAGCCCACATGTCCTTCACTGCTGTTCTAGGGGCCGCAACTTGACCAAAACAGTACATCAATGAGAGGAATCCCCCTGAGAGGGGGGGAGGGTTGTTTGTTGGTTACTGGTTCAGAGGAATCCGACTCGCAAGGGAGCCAAGCCAGGACCGGGCCGGCCATGACCGGCCATTGTCACCGTGACCCAACTAGCAAACGAGGAACCTCTGAGATGGGTCCTTCGTGGTTTCAGGTTAAACGGGCGCAGTTACCCTTTTGCCTGAGGACTCCGATCTCCAAATAGGTATGTGTCAAACGATTGGGTTCTCCAGTTTCGCTTTTGTTCCCTTCAAACTACCTGTCAGCTCCCCTCTCACGGGTTTGGATGGGGATGTTTGTAGAGGGTAGATGGGTTTCCTCTCCTGAACCGCCAAACCAACCGGGCTCCAACCCCACCAAGCGCGCGCCAAAAAAAAACAACGCGCCCAGGAAGCAGCTGGGGGAGGCGCCATTTTCCAGCGGCGCCAGTGGGGAGATCCCGGCTGCGGACAGCTCGGGCGCGTTCGGCAAGGAAGCGCATGGCGGGGCGGTACGTCTTGGGACCTGTTGGACCTTTCTCCGCGAGTCTCGCACCATGGGTTGAAACCAGAATGTTGGTTGGTATTTGCAGGGGGGATCGTCAGAAACCAGGGTTTCTTGGGTGCGAAATGGCTTTCGTCTATCCACAGCATGAGTTTGACTCGGGAACTTCCAAGGGACATGAACCCCCACCGAATTTTGCTGTCCGCTCATTTTTGTGGGGGACTATTTGGTTGGTTTCAATGGCAAACCGGGGGTTTTGGTTTTGGGGGTCACTGAAACTGTGATACCCAGGGACACCTCTTGAAAGTGATGGGGGGAGGGGGAGTGTGACCTCCTTGTAAATTCCAGCCCATGCAATGAACACAGTTCAAGCTTTTGGGACCTTGGCAAGATATTGGCCAACATAGGAACACCAAAGCTTCAAAAGCTGGGTTTCCATGTTGGAAGGGTAAAGTGGGAAGGGAATCCAAAGGGGAGCCCATTATTTGAGAATCCCCATTTTAAAGACTGAGATAGGGAGATAGAGAGAGAGAGAGAGAGAGAGAGAGAGAAAGAGCAAGAGAGAAAATGTGGGCCCGCAAACATGGCGGATTTCCTTGCGTGTTCCCTTCAAGCCAAACCTTTAAAGGGCCCCGGGTCAAAACACAGACCCGTATAGTTCTAGGGGTACCTTCCCCATTCTTTCCAGGCGTCCTTCTTTCTACAAAACCACCAAAAATCCTGGGGAAACAGCTGGTTTTTGAGAAGAACGATGGTTGAAAATAATGGAATTGGAATCAAGCCCTAGAATACTTTAGTGCATGTTGCTTGGCTGTTAGGACTTTAACTTTTTGCCAACTAGTGGGTTTTCCACTAAACCACTAAAAGTTAAACTTTTAGCAGGGGAGCAGAAAGCACCCCCTAGAATAGTGACATGGTTCGGCCGGCTGCTTCCCTGGTGTAGCTTTTAGGAGCCGCCGGACATGGGCCAGAAGCAGGAGTGAACAGACCCACGCAGGGGAAAAGCGAAGGACTCGCTGCGGGGTGGGTTTGGGTGACTAGGTCCCCCAGTAGTACCGTTTTTTTTTAGAATAGGGTTCCCTTACTAAAATAGACTACGGTTGTTGTTGGGAAACTAGAACCATTTTGCTGATTGTGGTTGAGTGGTTGAAATCCAAGCACTGAACTGCTAAAACAAAAAATGCTCCCCCTCCAACGTCAAGCGAGATTTGGGTGGGGGGGCGGGGGGGCTTTTGGCCTCTGCTTGATGTCCAAGAAGCGGTAGTGCCCAAAATCAGGGGGGGGGGGGTTGAAAGACATGGGCTTGTCTTTTCTTGGCACCCATTTTTTGTCACCGAACTTTAGTCACTTTTTGAGAAGACATTTTTCGTGGTAAATGAAGAGTTTGCTTGGTTACTTTTTCTGGCCAATCCACTCGATCGGACGTGAGGAAACTGCTGGGTGTTTCATCTCCGAATGAGTCAAATTTCGGCTGGCTTCGAAAAGCAAGACATGGACCAAGCTCCTCGAGTTTCAGGCATCCCAAAGCCTTCATAACTAATAAGCCGCTTTTCAACTTGCGATTTCCTCTTTCTTTCCTTTTTTTTTGGGCGGGGGGTGGGATACTTTCGTGTCCTTTTTGGTTCTTTTGGGGTGGGTGGGGTGGAAAGGCTCGATGGGCAGAAGTCGGACTGAGGCAAGGAGGAGGCCCTGCGGAAGCAGCGGGAGCTTCAGGAGAAGGCCGCGGCGCTTCTCAAGGAGTGCAGCTCAAAGGCGCGTGGCGTCGCTTCGGGGAAGGGCGCGAGCGGCTTCGGGGAGGGGACTTTGGGGAAAGTGGGGGGGGGGGGGTGGGGAAGTGGGGGGGGGTGGGGGGAAGTGGGGGGGGGGTGGGGGGAAGTGAAAGGGGGGTGGGGGGAAGTGGGGGGAAGTGGTTTTTTTTTTTTTTTTTTTGGGAGAGCAGACCTGGGGTGGGGGGGTGGGGAAGGTTAGGGGAAGGTTAGGGGAAGGTTTTTTTTTTTTTTGGTTGGGGGGGGGAGGGAAGCCAGGGGTGGATGGACGAAGCCCTCTTGGGCACCACAGCTCAGAAACCCTGGAATGAGGATTCACCTGTGAATAGTAACAAGCAATGGTTTCAACCATGGTTTCAAAGTGGTGCAGGATTTTTGTCCATTCGCAGCCAAGAGCCAAGTAAAAACAGCCATACCCTGAATGGAGGTTGCAAAATAGACCCGTTCAGTGTCCACCATAGGAGGGGAAGGAGGGGACTTTGGCGTCGGGTGGGGGGAGGGCCGTTGTGTTTTTTGCCAAGCGGGTGTCTTTAGATTCGTCCTGGGTGGGAAACCATGTGGCCAGCTAGGTTTTGGGGAAATCCATGTTCTGTTGGGGTGTGAAGGTCATAAATCACGACCGGAATTGAAGGGTATGAGCAATCATACATCGGGAACACCGCTGAATAAACCTGGTCTTTATAATACAGCATTCCCCTCCCAAAGTGGTCTGATTCCCCCAAAAAGCAAAGGGACACCCCCTCATTAATAAACCATGGTTGAGTGATCTGGGGTACCCATTGCTATAGAATGGAACCCTTGGAGAATCCCCCAAGCCACCGAGAGCCGGGCTTTTCGGACAAGGGGCTCAAGACGGCCCGGTCCGGAGAAGGTGTTGCAACCAACGTACCGCCGGTTTCTGTTGCAGTTCTCGCCCAAGTCCATTGTATGAAAGAACCGGCTGCACTCACTTGGGAGTTGCTTGGGCGATTTCCTCACGAAGGGGCTTCTCAAAATGCCGGGAAGCCACAAGAAAACCACATTTTTTCTGCTCTACTTGAACCAAAGAAGAAGAAGACACCCAAATGGTGCGGTTTTTGTTGCTTTCCCCTTGTTCTACTTGGATGTCCGTTGCCGAGGAAGCGCTTAGCCATCTGGGTTATAGGCTACCACTATCACAGGGTTAACTTGGTCACGACCCAAGTACCCAAGGCCTGGCCAAGGCAGGGGTCTTAAGGTAGGATGCATCCATCAGTTGGATGCTTTAATAAATCAGCTGTAAAAAAAACGATCCTTTTCTAGCCCAAACGCATCGTGGAACTGGTGGGGCTTCCGTTTCATCTCCTTTCAAAGCCATCCGAAAAAGGCGAACGCAATGGCGACCAGGTATCACCGGAACTACTCAAGCCGCCCCGTGGAGACCACACGAAGTCCCCTTATAAACCATCCATTTCCGCTGGTTTCCTTTCTTCGGGAATCCCCAAGCCCATTCCCTGCAACAGCGCACCGATCGCCAGCGCCTCCAGTCACGCCTCCAGTTGCGCAGGTGGCTGCCGCCGAAGAGTTGGTGGAGGCGGTGGTGGCGGCGGCGGCGCACCTGGCGCCGGAGAAGGAGCTGAAGCTGGAGGCAGTCCAGAAGGCGGCACCGCGGCCTCGGAAGAAGTGGGCGGTGCCGCCCGCGGCCCGTTCTTGGGATGCGCCTGAAGGGACACGACGCTTTTTTTAAGGAAATGACTGGGGAAACACCCCAGTTTGAGGGCCCCCTTATTGTTTTTGGGATGCTTTTAAAGAGAAACAAACTGGAAAAACACCAATTTTGAGGGTCCCCGATTTTGGGACAAACTTTTTGAGGACCTGCATAAGAAACTCGTGTTCTTTTGGGAAACCAACATGGATCCTTTTGTAGTTCCGGAAATGGTTGGGTTGCAATTGAACATGGTGTGCATGTTTTTTTGTCCTTAAGGGAAATCGAGAGGAAGCCAAACAACAAACAACAGCTCTAGGTGGCCGATTCCTGCGAAAAGCACTTGAATTCGCCCCCTTCCATATGTGAGTGACGCTAATTGGTATTGCAGGGTTCCTCCGTTTCAATTGTTCCCTTTTTTGGAGCCTCCAACAGTGGCAGTTTTAATGGAACCTGACTCCAGCGGCCTTTGTCATGCGCCGTCCGCATGCATTTTTTCACAAAGGCCCACGAAGGCTTTTGTTTTGCGGCCTCCATGAAGGTTCCGCAGCGAAACTCTTGCAACACCATATCAAACTTCACCCATATTTTGAATTTGGGGGGCTTGATTTGTTCCAGATTCTTCCCGAAAGAGTGACGCTTGTAATTCCAGTGCTCTGTATGCCCCGATGATCGCACATCCAGGACACCCCCTTTTCCGGGCTTTACCATGGCTTGGCGGTTGAGTCTGGGTCCATTAAAGGTATTAACCATATTTCTTTGTTTCGCTTTAAGCCACAGTGCATGGGCGCTTCCCCTTTAAACCGCCATGTAGCAGATCCAGATCCAACTGCGTGGATCTCGCTTTGGGCCCGCGTCTGGCCACTTCACCCGACCTGCAGCGTCCGTGGATCTGAGGCGAGCGCATTGGAAGCCAAAGCAGAAGCTGCCACTGCTGCCCTCGCCGAATGCGCGGGCCTCAGGCCTCGGTGCGCCAACGCCGGCCTAGGTGGTTTACAGCTCAGGTCTGGTGGTCGACAGGGGGAGGGGGGGTGTTGGGGTGGGGGTTGCGATGAGTTAGCAAGTAAACCAACAACGGCCAACCACCAAACCCTCGGGAAAAAAAAACCGGGGAAGTTCTACGGTTGCCAAGTTTCTTGTCAACCATCGTTCTTTTTGAAAAACCGGCTGTTCCCCCGGTTGTTTATTTTTGCCGGTTTCCTGAAAAGAAGGATGGATCCCTGGAATGGGGAAGATACCAGGTACCCCTCAGGTACCCCTAGAGCTCTCTGAGTCCCCGAGGCGGTCAGTTCTCCAAGGAGAAGAGTGGAGAGATGCGGATGCATGTGAAGCCGCGGGAGCCCCAGTTCAGGCACAAGAGGCGGCCGAGTGCCTAGACATTTAGATGTGCCAAGTTCCATTTTATTGGGCAGGGCTGCTTGAAGGATACATTTTGCAACCATCTGAAGCATGGCTTCTTCAGCACCGAAATGAAGGGAAGCCATGATTTACAAGGCAATTTTCAGGTGTATGAGGTAAGGACCCCTGTGGGGAATGGAGGGCTTGTTGTAGTTGATTAGTTGGTTTGAATTTGGGGTTTTCACTGTTTACACTTAAGCCAAGCCAACTGTGATTGAACAATGGCATAGTGAGTATAGCTGTTGTTCTTTCTTTTGTTTTTATTGCACCAGGCATGCCACCGCACTGACTTGTACAAAATGCAATGCATATCAGTTCTTTCCAAACTGACTTAGCATGGCTATGTAGATGTCCATTGTTTCAAGTAATTGGCCAACACCCATCAAACAATGTTATATATGATACCTATTACATGTCATATTATATTGTTGCTGATTTGTTACGTATATATGTTCTTTAAACATATATGATTGCCTGGCACATCTCTCTCCACTCGCCCCTGCCCAAGGAAGGATGCGGAGGATGATACACCGATGCTTGGCCTGCACGGTAATTGGGTTAACTTGAATTTGGGGGCTCTTGCAGCAATTGAGTGGAAGGGTGCTACACAATGCTACACACCCCTACGGCTGTGTCTTAAAACTAGGGAAATGGAGTTATCCCTTTTCTTGTTGCAGGGACTGAGAAATGCACTGCCCCCTAGAAAAGCCATCCAACTGGCGGTTTCCTTTGCGGGGGTGTGTTGGGTTCATTCGAGCACCCCCCCCGCAGAACTCTTGCGCCGCCTCGCTCGCAATTCGCTCTCCCAGGACTCTGGCGCAGGTTTTGCAGCGCATCAACGAGGCGCAGAAGAAGAAGGACCCGCTGCTGGGGGGGGGGGTCCTTTTGTGAGGTTTTTGCTCGGGCCCGTATGGCGCTAGGCGCAGGAATTGACAGACATGTGGGGATGGGCGGTGGGGCGGGGGCCCGAGAGTCTTCACGAACCCTTAAAACAACATCAACATGCTCTAAAATGGGGGGGGATGGGGGGATGGGAGGTGGGGAGGCTGGGGGGGCGGGGGGGATGGACACCCGAAAGTCCTTATGTTGCGAAACTGAGGGTCGTCTATAGTTGGTGGTTGCAGGGGAGTCGGACGAAGGGAGCTGGGGGTATCCAAATTTGCTTGTAAAGAGGGAGCCTTTCGGAGCTACCAGGAGTCTTGTAAGGACATGGTAATCGTTTTTGACTGCTTTCCCTAGCTACTTAGGTGACTTTGAGAAGAGGGAAGCTGCCCGTAAGGCGGAAAGCAGCCTGTGAAGACTTAGCTGCAGAGCTGACACTTAACAAGTCGACCATTACCAGGCGCACGTTTTTTCGTGGTTACCCGCGGGCCTCGCATGGATATTGACATAACTCTTAATCATTAATGTCTGGGTGGAGAAAGTGCCAAATGTTTTGGCCCAAAGTCAGGCAAAGGTTAAGAAGCCGATGTCTGACGTCTCCTTGAGGCATGCCGCATGCCTGTGGTCCAGACATCCGCTCCCATGAGTCTTCTGTAGTGCCCTTATACCCTCTTTTGGAGGAGGGTTCCCCTATATACAAATTAGACGACAGAAAAAGGGTACCTTATTCTAACCTCTCTACTGGAGGACCTAGGTCTTGTTGAGGATCTCAAAGGGGGCTTTCCTTCCGCGCTAGGACACGGCCGTCCGAGAGGCCGGCGTGAACAAGGACTGCAGCGAGCGCACCGCACCCCTCGCGATTGCGGCGAGCGAGCGGGATTGCGCGAGCGAGCGATGCTTGGGTGGTGCTCCAACGCAAAGCCACGCACCAGAGAACCATGGACAATTATGGCAACTTGGCTATGGGTAAATCCCGTACCCCCAGTGAACATCCCAATCCCCACTAAGATAGACTAAAATGGGTGGTGCACCTACCCCAAAATGAGATCCCATTGGTGTTGACCCACAGCCACTTGCGGGAATCGGTTCTTTTTGTGCCCTTTCGATGTCTTTAGGGGGATCCCCCTCCGGTTCATCCCCAACCTGCCTTGTTGATTCCTCACCTATGGAACCAGCAAAGGAAGGGTCAGCCAGCCCCACTCAACGAACAAAGTCCGGGGCTTCGGTGGGGCTTGGGTGGTGTTTAACCAACCTCCGAACCTTGATTCCCCGCCTATGCAATCGGCAAGGGAGGGGTCAGGGTCAGCCCCCCGCCTCCCGCCTCCCGGTGGCCTCGCTTGCGTTCCGATTCCGAGTAGCCGCCACTCGGGCCTCGGCCGCGTTCCGGGCGAGGCGCTCGGCGCGTGTGGCTAGGACAAGCTGACGAGGAAGGCGGAGGCCAAGAAGAAGTTGGACGCGCAGCTCTTGAAGTTCAAGAAGCCCACGCCCCAGAGATTTTTGGCTGGAGGGCCATAAAGAGAAAACCCATAGCTTGAAGGCTTGCTGAAATGAAAAAAATGTTATTGTTCTATTTTTCGTGTTTTCATCGAAACCTCTTTTTTTTGGTCTTAAGGGGATCTATTTCACTACTGGAAGCTACTGGAAGAAATCGATTTCCCCTTTTTTTCCCGGGGGACGGAACAACCAATGGTTTTTGTGCCCAGAGATTGGCAAAGAACCTCCATGGGCTATAGGGGTTTCAAGCTTCCGGTTCTTAGCTTCCGGTTCTGAGCTTCCATTCATGGGGCGTCATGGGCGATCACGTGGTTTCATGGTATCTTTCGGAATTTTTAAATGCCACACAGGTTTTCAGCGTTTTTCCCCCGTTTTTGGGGATTGTGTCTTCCTTTTTTTCAGCTACGCATATGTCTATATTTTCCCCTGTTGGTTTTCAAGGGGATCCATGTCACTACTAGACATATCTTCTCATGTCTTGCGGGCTTTAAAAGGCACATGGAGACGGCTTCAGCTGGAGTCTTCTCCCAACAGGTGATCACCTTTTATGAGCGAGTTGCAGGTTGTGGGTCAAAGTAGCTGCGAATGTTTATATAATCCCGGAATGTTGTTTTAGCCAAAGCCTTTGACCGTTTCCCGCATTGGGACTGGTTATTTGGACACCGCCCGCCGCGGAGCTGCAGTTTCAAAACAAAAACGTCTCCAAGCGATTTCGCACAGGTACGATGCCAACAAGGACAGGGCAAGAATCAAAAGGGGGGAGGCCTTTGTCCAGCACAAAGGGGGGACCTAAGATGGATACTGAATGTTTATCATGCTCTGTTTTGAGCTTCATCATTTTGGTGTGGTTTCAAGTGCATCCAATAGAAAATCCAGTTGTTATTTTTCGCACCCTATTTTGACACTCGCTCGCTTGCCTGCTGTTTGATTGCATCTACCTCTAACTTGTTGGGAAAACGTCATGCTTTTCCCACAGGCAAATAGGGAGTGTTGAAGTCTCAAGATGGGATATGAACCCCTCCCCCCCTAACAAAAACACAAAAGTCCTTCCACGCAAACAAAACAACACACAACATGGGGGGTGGCTTCCCTTTTGTCCCCCTTTAAACAATAGTAAGGCAGGTGCCCTCAACAAACCAACATCATTGTTTCAGTCAAGGGCCGAGGTCCATGGAGAAATCTGTCAGGATGAGCTGCTTGACAAGAAGGAGGTCATAGCCTATGCCAAGAAGGAGCCAACAGCCACCAGAAAGCATGCCCATGCCAGGCACCTGTGAGTCGGTCAAATGGCTGTGGGTTGAAATAGGTACCCAAATTAGACAAAGATGCAGTTGCTTACCCCGGAGTTTGTGGGGCTCCCTCCATCCCTGGTGCAGGAAATTTCGCCCATCCGTGGGTGTACTCTGCTGGGTCCGCTTGGTAGAAGTGTTAGCACGTAACACCTCCAAGGTGCCGCGTTCTCGAAAAGGACCCCCGCTGTGCCCTGCTTTGCACTTTGCACCTTGTGCCAATCCGCGCCGTCTTGCAATGTCAGTGCTTGCGCTTGCAGGAGTTCAGCCTTACCTTGAATGCCGCCTGGCTTGATTTGGGCATGTCGGCTTTTTTTCCGGGTACTCTGTTTGGGGTTGTTGTGAAGGAAAACCAAAAGGACAACCACAGTTCCCCCTATGTTGACACATGCCCGCCCGGGAACTTGTCTCTTTTTGAGGATTCGGCAGCGAAAACAAACGGCTATCCACCACCTGGGGCCCCATCTGAGAAACACTCAAAATTTGGCTGTTTGCAACAGCAGCCGAGAAAGCAGTAGTAAGCATTGCAAGTGGGTAGCCAGGATTTCCAACGGCTTGAAAGGATAAATGCATGAAGCATATGAAGCCCCAGTAGGAAGCCCTAGTTTCGTTGATTTGTGGTTGGGTATGCCAATGCCTAAGCCAGCCAAGAGTCCAAATGGGGCGTATGCAATCAGCGAGAAAAACACTTCTTGCTCTTGGAAACCTGCCCGAACCATATATTTAATATTCACTCTCGAGTGGGGGGTCCAAAGTGGACAAGAGCATCACCATTTCAAGACCACGGAAGTGCACACTCGGTTTTTCTCGGCTGGGTGAGGGGTGTATGAACGCGGGCGCGTACTGTCTGTAGAACAACTTAATTATTCCAGAACAGTGGGATCACATGGGGAAGCCACATCTTTTTGTTTCTAATAAGCAACGTATCCAAAGCCCAAACTCACATGAGCAACGTGCAAAAGGGGGCGCCCAAAACGCGCACGCGCGCGCGCCCAAACATTTGCGCGCCTTTTCTCTCGCCTTTTCTCGCGAGAGCCGAGGACGCGCGGGCGAGCAAGATCCTGAGCGCGTTGGCGGACGGCAAAGGCGTGAAGAAGGACGACTTTCAGCGGCTCAAGGTGCAGCGGGGGACTGAGCAATGTCACTGTGAGCGCCATATAAGCGCAACGGGGATTTCGGGGAAGGAGATGCCTCCGCAAAGTTGATGGTTTCTTGGTTTCCGTGTCAAGTTCGGGGTAAAGGAGAAACAGAAACGGCCGCAGGCAGGCCCGAAAAAGACCGGATAAGTCAAAACAAGTATCTAGAGGTTCCTGATTACAGGTGAGGTTTCGGCGCGGTCTTGTTTTCGGCGCTCGAGGCTCGCCATCGTTTCTTGGTCGGACCTGGTTGTACGTTGATCAAAGCATCGTTCCAAAGCCATTGCTGCCACTTTGGAGGTCTAAACAAGTTGGACATTGAGGGGCCTGCCTCGGAATACTCGGAGTTGTTCCTGGTCCTCTTTATCGGACACATCCTGGTGGGCGCATATTTGTGCAGGAAATTCGGAGTGGCTTTTCCTTTTGCGAGAGGGTGCCGAGTCATGCGGGCTGGATGTGTCTTTGCGGTTTCAGCGGATTTCAGCGTCTCTCACTGAGGATCGGCATCGTGCGGGAGGCGCAGAAGGCACTCCGTCGGGTGGAGGGTGCCTTTGCGGTTGGTCCGTGACACGGGGGCGCGCCTTCTTTCAGCGTACCCTTTTTTCTCGGCAACGTACTGCGAATGGACGAAACCTGCATCACTTGTTGGGTGGCAATTTTGCAGGGGAGTCGAATCATTCCAGGGTTTCTTAGGTGGTGCAGGGTTTCGTTTACCCTGGCACCTCCCTTCAAGACACCAATCTTCCAGGCGTTTGTGGAAGGGAGGGTAGGAAAAGCCACATGGTTTTTGAGTCCTCTAGCGCACGCCCACATGGTGCGTTTCATTCATCCCCTTTGCGAACCTCAAACTCACTCCAGAAAGGGTTTTCTCAAAGACGAACTCATAGAGCCGTGCAGGACTTTGCCCTTACGGATGCCTGGGAAGCCGTAGTTTACTCTGAGTTACTCTGGTTTTGCTGCTGGGTGTGGCTGGTTGACTTCTAGGTCCCCCAGTAGTGCCCTTTTACCCTTTTTTTGGGGGAGGGTTCCCCTACAAAAATAGACTACAGAAAAAAAGGGTACCTTTATTCTAACCTCTCTACTGGAGGACTTAGACTTGCAACATGCCGGCGAGTGGCTTCCAAAAAAATGCAAAGAAGAACCCTGCGCCATCCGAGCCCAGCCCAGAGGGATGGTACCCTGTGGCACCGGGCTTGAGTCGCCAGTCTGTGTTTCTCTCTTTTTTTTGGCCATGTGGGGTACCTTAAACACAGGCTTCACGCACAACATGCGGTGTTAGTTTTCATGCAGCCCCTCTAAGAGACCTTCTCCAGCAAGTTCGCCAAGCTGTCTTTCTTTCTTTCTTTCTTTCTTTCTTTCTTTTTTATTTTTTATTTTTTGGGGTGGGGGGTGGGGTATTGAGCAATGTCCAAGATCTTGGATCTGCCATAGATCGCAATGGGGCAGAATTCGCCAAGCCCTCGTTTCTTTGTGGGGCATTGATCAAATTTGCTGGACTTCGCCTGGTTTTTCTTCGGCCCCCAAAAGCCCCAAGAGCCAGGGGCCCCAAGAGTCGATCTGCGCGGACCTCGCCGTCGATGGCTCGCTCGCCAGGACCTCGCCCGAAGAAAGCTGCGGGAGGAGCACGACAAAGAGATCGAGAAGACCAAGGAGGGGCTCAAAGAGAAGGCGGGGATGTCGCTCACCAGAGCTTTACGGCAGACGTACTCCCAGTTGCCCAGTGGTGCCTTTTTTTTTTTGGATTCCCCTTGAAAGTCAACCAACCAAAAAAGGGTGCCGATCCTTTTTTTCTCCGCGGCCACTGGTCCCCCCTGGAGGGAAGCCACCTGGATGGTTAGGGATAGTCGGCGTAGGTGGTGGGGATGGCCATTTGCTGAGACGAGCTGTTTTTTTTCTCCAGGTTCCCCAGCCTGGTGGTTTTGAAGGAAGGGTTTATGACTACTGGACATATGTTTCCTAATTTTTTCCAGGGGGGCTTCGCGTTCTCCGATTCATTTTGGAGGGTTCGTTGCCAGACTTCCACGGGCTGCTGCAACCCACCCTTCGCATTTTTTTTCTTGTTTCCATTCCGTTCCCTTGCCAGCGAACATCAAGAGACCACTTTTTGCAGGGGGCGGGTTTCATCAATCTAGCCCTACATGATGTTCCCTGTAAACTTGGCCAGCATCTTTGAAGGCACCCTGCTTTGGGCTTCTTTGGCCCCGTATCCTGGTTCGGCAGGGGATCCGTCGGAATGACCCCAAGCCGGAACCATCTTCTCAAGCGATGCCTGCAAAAGGGGAATGCTAGGTTCATTCCCAAAACCAAAAGAGATATTCGCTACTGAGAATCAGCAAGTTGTGATTTGATCCCTAATGGAAGTCAACCCTTTTAGTTGATGCCGTGGATGGATAAACCCTGGAATGATTCTATTGCCCTGTAAACACCCACAAACAATGGCTGCAATCATGGCCTCATTTCGTGATGCGAAATGGATTTCGCAACCATCCACAGTATTTTCAGTTTGTTAATTATATAGCAGTTTGCTCCAGAAGGTCAACTTTTTGTCAAGGTGCCGCATTTAGAGAGACTCTTATCTTTTCCCCCTATGCTGTTTTTCCTCATTATTGGAATGCCCCAAAACAACCAGGGGTTTAGTAATTTAGTAAGCTGGGGTTCGCATTGCCAAATGAAACGGCTGACTTTTTGAAAAGAAGTGTGGAACAAGGGGCGGAGTTCATCCCTAGTTGACCAAACCAGACAAGCCATGATAGGCTGCTGTTCCTTGAGTGGTGCCTTGTGGGGTAACCACTGGAATAGCCTTGATGACACATCAGGGGCCATTCTTCATTGGAGATTCCCCTTCCAAAACGATGGACATTGTATGGATCCAGGGTCAACATCGTTCATTTTTGATTGGGGGGCTCTTTTAGCAGGGGATCTGAAAACAGACAGCCCAGAGAAATGATCGTTCTCCTGTATGGTTTCCAGAAATCGCAACCATCCGCAGATGAGTTTGCTCACTCCGAATAGACGGGATCCAACCGGCAGGTGGTCGAGGCGGATGAGAAGTACTCGCAAGTGGAGGGGAAGGCGACAAAATTTAATTTTCTGCGAGTCTTGTCTCGCCGGTTCGGTTCGCGGGGAGTTCAAGACGCGGGGTGCCGTTTTTGGCGGGGCGGCCGGGGGGGGGGGGGAGGTTCATTTTTTTGCCTCTGGGGGGGGGGGGGAATGATTGATTGTGTGTATGACCCCTTGGGAACATAGGAAGGGCATTGGCCCTTTCACGTTGAACAAGCCTCAAGCCTCGGGCTTTTCGGGCATGGCGACTTTCCAGGCTTTTTTTTGCTTGAAATCCTAAGGTTCTGGTTTCACCCATGGTTTCCATTCGTGCGAGACGGGCGGATGTCTGGTTACATCCACGGCAAGCTGATGTTCCTTTGTGCATCTTTTTTGGGTTCCGGGGCCAGCCCGGTGCCGTCCGCCATCCGGAATCTTATGTCAGGCTTGGAGCCCACCGGAGCAAAAAAAAAAGGCGCCCAGAGCGCGCGGAGCTCTCGGCAGGTGAAGGAGGTGGAGGAAGCTGGAAAGCCGCTCATCACCGAGAAGCGCCTCCGGCTTTGGCTTTGAAAACGTCTCGTTTTCGCGGGGATGGAGTCGATGGATCTCATTCGATCGGTGTGGGGTGGGGTTGGACTTGGGACCCGAGAAAATTAAATTTTATGATGTCTTCCATTAGCTGAAAGTTTCCCCTGGGTTTAAAGGCAATCTATCACTATTGGACTTATTTTTGTTTGTTTTAGGGGGCTTAAGCAAATGAAAGTAATGCGCGCGTAATTCTTCCAATGCCCTTGCATTAGGGGTCTCCAAGCTGGTGGGGTGATGGTATTGCTTTGTGGCGTTCAGGCTGTGCCTTGATTTCTTTCCACCCTCCCTTCCCCGCGATGAGCTGCCAAAAAGGATTCGTCCCCTCAAAAATTATTTGTTTCAAACATATTCCTCCCCTCAAACATATTCCAACTTTTTTTCTGTGCGCGGATTTCTTTCCACTCCCCCCCGCCCCCCCTCCCCGCGCAGGCTGTCTTTTGTCAAAAAGAACAAACTTTCCCCCCTGCCCCCCCCCCCCCCCTCCCCGCGCAGGCTGTCTTTTCACAAAAACATGTTCCTTTTCTCAGCTGAGCGGAGGATGAAGTCCACGGAGATGCAGCCGCTCCTCGAGCAGCTCGAGGAGAAGGCCGCCTGACGGCCGCCGGTAGGGCCGGTAGGGCCGGTAGGGCCGGGAGGGGAGACCTGTGGGTGGATTTTTTGTGGGTGGTGTGGGTGGTGGCGAAATCCGCGAGTCTCGCACCACTTTTATTTTTATTTTTTATATTTAAAACACAAAAGTGATTGAAACCAGAACGTTGGTTGATATTTCCAGGGAAATGGAATCCTTCCAGTTCTGAACAGTGGTGCGAACGGATTTCGTTCATGCACAGCTTTTTTTAGTTTAACGTGTGTTTTGTATGTTTGTTATTCATGTTGTGAGTTGTCTATTATCATTTTCTTGGTTTGGTGTCGGGGGTGGGGAGGGAGGGGTTGGAGATTGTTGCATATTGTTGCTGTGGATGGTTGCGAAATCCGCGAGTCTTGCACCATGAAAGGAGCCATGGTTGAAACAACATGTTTGTTGGCATTTACGTTAGGAAATAGAATCATTTCGTTGGGTTTCTGAACGGTGGTGTCTAAGAGGCATTTGCAGGGGAATCGAATCGGTTTCGGGGTGTCAGGATTTCGTCCGCTAGTAGCTGCTTGGAAGGGGGCCGGACGAAGGAGCTACTGATCGGAGTTCTTTGAGGAGAACACCGATCACAAAAGACTCCCCAAAAGAACAGAACAAGAGACAAACAACAACACAACGCAAGAAGAACAAACATCAAACCGCAGTTCTCCTTCACCCAGCCAGAAATGTCCGACTCCCACCAAACCACACAAAAACCTACACCAAAACCACCCTGGGGACAACTCTGTCGACTCCGAGCCACAAAGAAGGCCCCGGGAACCCCAAAATCCCCGCTTGTAGAGTTGAGGCTGCAGCTCAAACATGGGCTCTTGACACAGTTTGCCCCCAAAAACACATGTTGCAACTCCCATCTTTTTTCTTTCCCCTTAAAATTTGGTGTCCTTCTTCAACTCCGGGAGGCATGAAAAAAACTCTCGCCCCGCCCAACCAGCAGCGACGCACGGGAGGCCCAGGAGCTCAAGGCGGCCATCGCGGGCTTCAAAGCGGAGCTCCAGGAGCTGAAGAGCAGCTGGGGGCCCAAGTCCGGGCCGCGATCCTTAAGCGCGATCGCCGGTGCTTGCAGCATGCTTTTTTCTTTCTTTCTTTTTTTCTTGGACCATCTCTTCTGTTGTTTTGGGCTCTTTTTTTGTGAGTCTTGTCGTTTTTTGGTGGGTGTTTTTTTGGTCGTGTTCATGTTTGTTTTAAATGGAATCGAATTCACTGCTGGACATGGTTTATCGTTTTGTCCAGGGGGCGAAAAAGCAAATGGAGGTTTGGTTGGAAGGGAGCCAGGCGAAGGAGGGTGGAGTGGGCCTTCCACGAGTGATCCGAATCCCTGCAAGAAAATGGGACCACTCTGCCACTCACAAGCTTCCGTTTGCTGAAAGGATACTTATTTAATTTCCTCCGTTTGTTTTTAGAAGGGATCTTACTACTAGTGGACATATTTTTCATTTTTTGTGCGGGGCACTTAAGCAAATGGAACGTTTGGGAGCCGGACGGGGGCTGGCACCCGTTCAGAGGGAGCCGGAGGAAGGGAGCTGATCGGATGGTTAGGTTCATGAGGTGCTCAAGATCGGGGTACCGGGGTACCAGTAGTAGTCCCCATCAATGGCTGCTGCTTGTTTTTTTTCTTTTTGCTGAAGGGGACTTCAGCAAGCGGAAGCAACCCCTGCGGCTGAAGGGAAGACCTGGTAGCCTGGGAGGACGGAACCACCACCGCGTTTCACCACAGGGGGAGAAAATTGGGAGGACACCAACACCATAACGCCAGGCGCGTTTTCTTTTTCGGCAGGGAGTCAAGTCACCCGGACAGTTTTTTTGTTCGGATTGGGACTGGGGGTTTGGAGCCTTTGAGTTTTTTTTTTTTTTTTTTTTGCGTACCTTACACCAATCCAAAGCATTTGGCGGAGGGAAGCTACCAGGAGGGAAGCTAACTGGTGGCTCCCACCAAGAATTTCTTTGAGCGCTGATTAGCAAAGCCCCGAGCCACGTGACTCAACAGCGGTGGCATCACTGCGCTTAAATCCCGAGACGTGGGTTGAACAGTTGAACAAATCGGTGGGCAGGGAACGGCCACCCAAAGAATTTACCCCAAACCTGGAGCACCCGCTTTTTTGATTAGCGCAACTTGGGGCACTTGGTCTGCTTCGTCTTGCTGTGGTGTCCCCCCGTTTGAAGTGACAGGCACAAGGACGGACTGCCGCAGCACAAGTCGGATCTTCCTCGGGTCAGTTTGGTGTGTTGAGACACTAAAATGGTCCTGGTCCAAAACAGAATTGGCCCCAATGATCGTTCTACCGAACGGATGGCTGGTTGCACGCGGGAGCTTCTTAGGTGTTTAGCTTTCTAGGGTTTAGTGGTAGTTTCCACTAAGCCACAAAAGTTTAGACTTGCACCAGGGAATATGAGGACAGCCCAGCAAAAAGGGAACCCAAAAAAGTAGAGCGCGAAAAAGAGTCCCCAGCGAAATCCCCCCGCCCAAAAAAAGAGCACATCCCGCTGGACTCACTTGCAACCAAAGCGAATTGACCGAATCTAACCGTTTGGCTTCCCCATCTTGGTCCATATTTAGAGGTTCCGAAAGGTGATCACCTCCATTTCCAGGTCCAAACTGGTTGCAGGCGAGTCAAACTGCTGAGCTTCAAACTGCTTGGGGTTGGTCCATGTTTTTCTGGTAAACAGAAAGTTCGAGTTGTTCTTTTCTTGGTTTCTGTTTGTTTTTCTCCTTTATTATTCTCGGGGCCACTCAAGTGGGACCCTCCGAGACTCTCACCCATGGCTTGTTGGGTTCAGGCCACTGGCCGCCGCATCCGAACCCGAGGCGTGGATCAGGAGGTGTCCCTCTGGTTCCAGGGCCACTGCAAGCCTCTGGACCGCCGAAGGGCTGGTAGAGCGGATGATCGATGGGAGCTCTGCTTTCGAGGAGTTGATTTTCCTGTTCCCATTCTTTTTTCAACCATCCTTCTTTTCAAAAACCGGATCTGTTTCCCCAAAGTTTTGGGTGGTTTTGTGTAAAAAGAAACCGCCTGGGAAGAATAAAAAATGGAAGGTACCCCTAGATGCCTTAGGGGCTTGTGACTTGGTAGGTTGAAGAAAGGCGCCGCCCGCTTCTGTCACAGTCGCAGCTCAGTTTTAAAAGCTGGAGCACAACTCCACATAGTCATTTACCTAGCTTTAGCCGTACAGATATCATAGGGCTGTTTTTATGCGGAACACTTGAGGAACAGCCATTGGATCTTGTTTAAGGCACAATCCTTTGAGGGAAAACCCCCTTTTCGGGTTTTGGTTTGACGGACACCTTGGAAAAGCCGTCAGGACAGCAAGACAGCGGCCTTGGAGCCGCGAATGCAGAGATGGACTACCTTGCCGGGAGCCATGGCGTTTGTGAGGACGGTTCACTCGAGGGTTCTACCCAGCCTGGCCGTGAGAAGGTTCACTTTACCCTTGGCATGGCTTCAGTTGACTTTTCTGTTGTGTTTTTGGTGTCTTGTTCTTGTTTCTTGTTTTTGTGTTCTTGGCAGGGCGTTAGTTCTTTTTCGGTTGTTTGTTTGTTGCAGTTATTTTATTGGCCTCTTGTTTTGGGTCCGACTCCCGGGAGTGAGTTGAGCCAGGGCCATACCCTTAGTGCGTGGTGTCATGGCCGGACCCCGGTCCAAAAAATGGATTTCATTTTTTGCTTTTGGTTTCCCTTAACCACAAAGGGGCACGTGCAAAAAACACACACACACACAGAAAAAGACAGAAACACACAAAAACACACAAACACACAAGAACACACGCAAAAGCACAACACACACAACACACACAACACACACAAAAAACAAGCAAAACACACACAAACACACACACACACACACAAACAGAAAAAACAAACACACACACACACACACACAAACAGAAAAAACAAACACACAAACACACACACAAACAGAAAAAACAAACACACAAACACACAAAAGCACACACAAAAAGCACACAAAAACACACAACACACACACACAAACACGCACACAACACACACAAACACACAAACACAAACAAACACGCGCAAACACGCGCAAACACGCCCAAACACGCGCAAACACACGCAAACACACGCAAACACTCGCAACAACACGCAAAACACACAAGCACGCAAGCACACAAGCACACAAGCACACAAGCACACAAGCGCACAAGCACACAAGCGCACAAGCACACAAGCACAGAAGCACACCAGCACACAAGCACACAAGCACACAAGCACACAAACACACAAGCACACAAACACACAAACACACAAACACACAAACACAAGAACACACAAACACAAGAACACAAGAGCACAAGAACACAAGAACACAAACGCAAACACAAACACAAACAAAAACACACGCAAACACACACACATACCCACCCCCACACCCCGACACCTCCACACCCCCACACCCCGACACCCCCACACCCCCACACCCCCACACACCCACACACCCACACACCCGCACGCGCACGCGCACGCGCACGCGCGCCCCCCACATCCCCGCGCACCCCCGCAGACCCCCGCGCACCCCCGCGCACCCCACCCCCGCACCCCCGCACCCCCCCGCACACTCGCGCACCCGCGCGCCCGCGCACCCACGCACCCACGCACCCACACACCCACGCACCCACGCACCCACGCGCGCCTCCGAGCCCCCGCACGCGCACGCGCACGTCAGACAGGCTTAGTAGCTGGCGTAGCTTGAGACCAGTCTCACTGGTCGTTGGCCTGAGGCCAGTCTCAGACACGTTAGACAAACCTGACTTGGCCTGGGGGGGCCTGGGCTGGGCAGGCTGGGCTGAGGCCCAGGCCCCGGCGCATCTCAGCCGGCCCCCAGCCGCCAGCAGGCTCAGCCCAGCGTGCCAAGGTCAGGTTTGTCTAACGTGTCTGAGACTAGCCTCAGGCCCAGTCCCTCAGCCCGCCTGCTGGCGTGTCTTACGTGTCTGCGACTGGCCTCAGGCCCAGCCCAGCCAGCAACTCGCCACCCACCCTCAGGCCCAAGTGTGTATGAAACAGGCCTTGCCCATCCAGCAACCCACAGCTCAGCCCAGCCCACCCAGCCCAAGTTACAGGCGCAACCAGCAGCGTAGTCCGGCTGCCCGGCAGCCAGCAACCCACCCATGGCTTCGCAGCCTCGTGGCTGAGACTAGCTTCAGGCCCGGCCCAACCACGCGCACGCGCACGCGCACCCGCACGTGCGCGCACACACGCACACACGCACACACTCACACGCTCACACACCCAAATTACATGGCCCCTAAGAGGCAATTCCCATCTCCAGGCTGCAATGCCTCCCCTTAGTATGGCTTCGGATTAGTATGCTCACAGATTGACATTGACAAGAAATGTTCGGCCCTAAAGCAAGGGATCCCGTGAATAATGTCCTGGGAAAGTGGGGAAATGGTTGGAACTATTTTATGATGAATAGCAAGCGGGGGGTGTACGAATGGGTCTGATGATCCTTGTATTATTGCCTCTCCATGTTTTCTTCGGGTCTGCGGTCCCCCCTCCCGAGGCTGACGCGTAGCCGCGCGGAGATGAAAAACAGGGCCACCGCCGAGCTGAATGTCCTAGAGACGCAGATGGTGGCCCGAACCCCAGAAACATGAGTGTCCCCCTAAAATGGGTGGGTGCAGGGTTGCACTTTTTGACTACCCCAAGATAGGCTTGAAATCAGGGGTTTTGGGGGGTAATGACGCGCCCTTGGGTTTAAGTCTACCCTGGGGCAGTCAAAAAGTGGAACCCTGGCTGGGTGTTCCTTTTGGTTTCCCTTTTCAAAAAACCAAACAAAGGAGCCCTGAAAAAAAGAGGTTGGGTGCAAATGCGGTGGATGGCTACTCAAAATCCGCGGCGTTCGGGATCGATCGATCGTTTTCGCGCATCGGGTTTCACAGACTGCGAGGTGGAGTTGCTCCGTCGGTTTATGTCTTACTCCTTCCTTCTTGCCACCTTGAAATTCCGTGGGATGTCTGAGCCCCAGATTCCAAATTCTGAGGCGTAGGTGTTGCATTGCCCCAAAACGAAGGGGATCCCCGTAAAAAGTTTACCACCGCAGGCGATGATTCGGCAGCACCAGAAAGCGAAGGGCCTGTGGTTGCCTCAAACGAATTTCGAGTGGTCCGCGTCGAGCCGCGGGCTTTTGACAGAGCTAGGGTTGTTGGAATGGGACTATTTGGGGAGACACAAGTCAGCAAGTCAGTGGCCCCGTCCTCCCACCCTTTTGCGAACGCAGGCTTACAGGAATGAGGCCTGGGAAAAAACCCTTCAAGAGTTAGTCAAGCAGAGGGGATTCCAAGATACCAGAAGTCGTTGCAGTGCCCACTGCGCAAGTCTGCTGTGCTTCAACAGCAGCCTGGACCGGGGTTGCCCCAACCCAAATTGTACCTTGTGCTGACGAACTCGCACAGTTTGCCACAAAATGCAGGGGACCGTTTCAACAAAAAACAGGGTTATAGACACATTTGTACATGTTTTGCATGAGTTGGGTGGCTTGCAACAGCCGTTTTAACCAGCCAGTCGATTCGCCTACCCTGAGTGAGCTGGAGTTGAGCTTGTGAGCATTTCTCAGTGGTTTGCAGAGGCAGGGGCTGCATTCCTGACGGTCCCTCACTTGGGCATCCCTGCATGAAGCAGCCATCTGGCAATTTTCGGATCCCTTTGAGTCCGTTTCCATCCAAACTTCCCAGTGAACTAGCGCCTTCTTACTGGCTGTTTGCACGTTTGTGTTCAATTGTGTTCACCGGCACAACATGTGGCGACACTGTTTCCCAGACGCCTGGCAGTTCTATGGTGCTTGGTGCCCCTCACCTTTTTTGCGTGAATGTATTCCCTCTACCCCTTCTGGCGCCGGGATTGCCCTCCACGTCAAGTTCCACCCTCCATGTTGGCCCTCTTTGAATCAGCGGCAAAGCGCTTGACCCGTCGTTCGTTGCCAAGGAAAATTAAGTTGTCGGTAACCACTCGCCCCGTTCAATGGAGTTAACCCGGGTATTGGTGAGTTATAACCCAGGGTAGCCACTTACCACGGCCGAACATCCAAGTACTACACTTTGTGTAGTAACCTGGTTTGCGAACGCTGCTTCTAACATAAATCGACTTAGCGGATATAACAACAGGCGGGTAAATGTTTCTCTTGCCTGAGGCTACTCACCACTTCTGATCCACACCAAATTTTGGCATGCCCCCCCAAAAACAGATCTCAAAATAAAGCCAACCTCCAACACGGGCCGTCACTTGCTGGTGCTCAGGGGAATGAACTCAGGGGCATGGGAAGGAAATCACCAGTTGGATGGTCTTGTTTTTCTTGGGCTCATTCCCCCATTCCCTGCCTATCGCACCAGCAAGATTGTGCAAGTGTGATGTAACCTCCATACCTCCAAAGGTCCCGTGGACGGGGGACCAAAATCCCAAATGGGCCTCAAAATGGGCGGTTTGGGCGTTTTCCTTGAGGTCTGCGGACGACCTCTACGCTGCGATGTCGACGTCGGAGGAGGTTTCGAAGCTCTTTGGCGGCAGCTTCATCGCGCGAGGGGTGATGTTTTTAGTCTTTCTGGGCCGCCAGGGGATGCCAAAGGGAAGCTCAGGGGAAGTGAAAGGGAAGCCGACCCTGGCGCGTTTCTTGGGCGAGCCATGATTTTTTTGTACTCCCTTGGCTTTTTGGCGATTTTTCTTGGCGTGCAGCAAGGGGGCGGTTGGACGCAGATAGAAGCACTGCGTCGCGCATCGGTTCTTTTTTTCGCCTGAGGAAAGACTTTCTCAAGTTCTTTCAGAGCTGCCACTTGGCTCGGGTCGAGACTCATGTCCTTCACCCGCAGTTGGGAGGATCATAGCAGTTAAGTTCTGCAACTTTTGGAGCCAATGTTCTCAGATCAGCGAGCGAGATGTGTGATTTTTTCGATCCAAGCATGCACCCAACTTCCCCTCGTCAGTGAGTTTTTCCTGAGCTGAGGTGAGGTTGGCGAGGCGGAGCGGCCGCCTGCCGAGGCGAGAAATCCCAGAAATCGCAGTGGCCTCCTTGCGGCGGATCTTTCTTGATTGCTATTGGGCAACGGATCTTTAGGCTTTGACGTTTGGGAAAATCAAGTTGGTTTTCCATCGAACCCATAACAAAGCAACTTTTTGCAGAGGGGTACAGCAGCCAAGGTTTTGCATGGCCACCAAAGCTTTTTCTTTGATACTGGAAACGTGGGTCCTGCTCTAACTTGCTTCAGCCCCACTCATGCTAAGCCACTTGCAGCTGCAAATGCGACGTCCGCGGCCCAAGTGGGACAGTCCATTCGGCCAGGAGCTGACTCGTCTGTTCACCTTCTTAGCTGGTGGCGACTCGAGCCTCCCGAAGGACGGTCCCCACTCACCGGAGGTCTGGATCTTTGTTTTGAAAGGTTTTCCCCTGTTGGGTCGTTTGGTAGCGCTGGACGTGCTGATATGTGCCACGTTGGTTGGGAGAGAGAGAGGGGTGGATTGAGAGAGAGAGAGAGAGAGAGAGAGAGACAGACAAAACAAAGAGAGACGTGCAAAAATGAGAGTTTGTCTTGCACGAGAGAGAGAGGGGTGGATTGAGAGAGAGAGAGAGAGAGCCATGTGCATTTTTCCCTGCGACTCGGTCCAGGAGCGAATGATGGGGATCATTCGGAGCTACAAGAAGGTCCTGAAGGACTCCCAAAAAAGCCGCACGCCAATCGTGCTCGCCCGCGCGCAGCTGGTCCAGAGTGGTTTTTCTCGCCTGCGGCAAAATGTAGCGTCCCACTCCCTGAGTTCCTGGACATGTTTTCTTTTTTTGGGGGGGAGAGGGGGGGGAGAAAGGGCTAGTGGTAAAGAACGAGCTTGGACCTGTTTAGGCGAAACTCACATCCGTCAATCAACCCTTTCCTTAAATCAAGTTTACCCTGTGAGTCAGGAGAACTTGACGAACAGCAGCATGAGCGGTCGGGGCGCGCTCGCGATTTTTTTTCCCTACAGGGTCTGGAAAAGGATACTTTTGGGTCAGATCGAAGAGGAAAGCAGCTGGGTCTTTGGATGTGTTCTACCGGAACCCGTCTTTTTGGCACGGCCGGACGTTGGGGCCGCCATTACGTAGCTCGTTGTAGGACACCATCCTGACGAAGGAGAGGGGTGTGAACAGCGGGGCAGTGCGCAAACTGGCGGCCGGCGCCTGAGCTGGGCCCTTTGTTCCCTTGTGGGTGGTTTCAAACACTAGGTCCCCCAGCAGTGCCATTCTCTACCCCTTTTTTGGTTGGGAGGGTTCCCCAAAATAGACTACAGAAAAAAGGGTACCCCTATTCTAACCTCTCTACTGGAGGATCTAGAACATCACCATCATCACCTTGGCCATTGTGAAGGGCGTTTCCTTCAAATGGGGTGATGTTTAAAGGGGAAGCTTAGAGAACTGCGTCAACAAGCAATCAGCTCCTTTTGGGGGCGCGGGTTGATGTGTGCGCCAGGCTTTTCGGCTGCAACTCGGGGGATTTTGGGGGCGTGCTCGCGAGTGCTAAGAATGCGGACCTTGGACAGAAAGGTCCGACGGATCATTGGAATACTGAGTCTCAAGGACCGGGTTTCTGTGACAAGGGAACCCCGCGTGTCATCAGCAAAGCAGCCATGGTGATTCGAAGTTTCGTATCGATGGGCCAAGGTTGGTGAGATTCTAGAAATCACCGGCCAAGAGAGCGCAGATGAGGAGGTGCCAGGGCCGCAGGGCGGGATAAATTTCCGGGTTGTCGGAGCGGCCGACCCTGCATGGCAGGGTCCAGGATTTTTTTTTTGGAGCGGGTGCCTGAAAGATGGATCCGGGGCGCGGTGGCTTTGCTTCAGGTCATGGCTCTTGACACATCTCAGAGAGCATGTAGCTAGTAGCCTCGATGCAGTGGTCAGGTATGCCAATGATCTGGGCCGGGCCAGGAATTTGGGGGAAGTGCGCGCTGAAGGGTTGTGCCCCAATCCACTGGCAACTTGGCAGTACACCAGCCTTTGCTTTGGCTCCGGGTTCCCAAATTGGGAGTTTCCTGTGGGGGTTGCGCCTGTGGGGTACCTTGCGAGAGGTTTTGCTTTGGGGCAGAATGCGAAGCGTGAGTGCCAGGTGGATGTGGTGCGGGTGCAGTGCAGAACGCTGAAGGACGATGAGGAGGGCTGGGTCACTGTGTCAGGCGGGCTGATCGAACATTTGGACCTGGTGCTCGAAATTACTCTTGGTGGGAAAAAGGCCCTTGAGCCCACCAGCTACTTCTTTCCCCTTGTTTGCTTGAAAGGGAACTGCTGCAAATACCCCCCCACCAACTAACATGCAAGTGCAAAAAGGCCCTTCCAAGAGGAAAGTCGTCTTTCTACAGGAGTTTGTGCACTTCCATGTCAGGTGCGAGGGTATGTTTTGTCGTTTTCAGGTTTCAGGGGGCTTAACCAATTGGAGGTTTAGTCACTGCAGTGGACCAGCAGAGCTGGATGGCTATGGAATGCTTCCAGCAGACTGGGCGTGGGGTTGCCGCAGGTTTTTGAACGCAAGGTAGCTCGATTCTGGCTACCATTCACTTGCGCGTATTTTTTGAGGGGTGTCCCAGCTTTTTGCTGGTTTAGATGGAGACCAAGAGGAAAACACCAACAAACCAAGAAAAAACAAACAAACATCGCTTCCGGGGGGTCCGAATCCTCAAAAAAGACCCGCTCGGGAGAGATCGAGCCCAATGGGTTGCATCCTACTGTGGATGGACAAAATCCTGCACCACTTTTGAAACCATGGGAAACCATTGTTTGTTGGTATTCACAGGGGAATCAAATCATTCTAGGGTTTCTTGTGTGGTGCAGGATTTCGTCCATCCACAGTATGGATCAACTAAGCCTTGACTGTTCTGTGCACGGACCCCAAGGCTTTGGAGGTGTCCCTGTCCCACTCCGCCCCTAGCGAAGCGTAGCGAGGCGCCCTTTGGCCTTTGATCCTGCCCTTTGCTCATGGCGTCCAGTTGGTGAAACATATGGGTGGGGTGGGGTGGGGTGGGGCGGGGTGGGGTGGGGTGGGGCGGGGCGGGGCGGGGCGGGGTGGGGTGGGACAGAGTCCCCAAATAGCATGAAAACCAAAAGCAGGGGTGACCCAATCTTCACAAGGGCAGAAATTTGGTTTTGAACGGACTCTCTCACTCCTGGAAATATCACCACGAAACTTGAGCAAACGCATGGATGGATGAGTCGGGCCCATCGCCGCTAAGACCCAGGTCATTCAAACCAGGTCCGGCAGTGGTTTTTGGCGGGGCTTGTCCTTGAAAGCCAAGCTCCAGCCTCCAAGCATAGGCTGCATAGGCGTCCTTTTTAGGTTAGTTTGGTTAAAAATAGACGGCCCTGGTTTAGATGGGTTTTGCTACCCATCTATTTTTCCAAAAGGCCACCTATGATAGGCAGCCTTTTTCTCCGATCTTCTGCCAGGTTTGCCGGTTTCAGCATGCCGGGGCTGAAAGATCTCCCAAGCTGCACTTGCGGATTTCCATCCGTATTTCCCGGATTTACCGAATCGCGCACAGCCGACCTTTTGACCTTTCGCCCCAATAGATTTGTTCCAGGTCCTTTGGCCAGATGTTCAAAACCACAACGTAAGATTGGAAGTGGTAGGGCTTTCCTGTTTCGCTTGAACCCTTTGCCAAGGGAGGAAACTGGGAGCCTCCTTTCGAGGCAACCACGGCACACCCTTCCTGGCGGAGTACAAGGGTGTCTACAAGGTGGTCAAGGACAGGCCCATTTGAGTCCCGCGAAGTCGAATCAACCCTGTTGGTGGGGTCCTCACTCCCTGAGTTGGAGTTTAAACTTTTTGGGAAGATCATTTTAGTGGTAAATCGTTTTAGTACTCTTTAGTTTTTACTTTTTAGTACTCTTAGTGGTTTATTCTTAGATGCTTTGAGTTTGTTTTTTCTGGCCAATCCAATCCACTCAATAATTCAATAGCCCAGAGCTTGACCGCACGGGTTTCCCTCAACGCCTCAAAACAAGTAGCATCAAGAAGGACCGTCTTTGGATTTTAAGTGGCAACGGCGACATTTTAAAAACTCCAAAGGGCGGGGGCCTATAACAACTAGGTCCCCCAGTAGTGCCGGTTCCCCTACAAAAACAGACTCCACAAAAAAAGGGTACCCTTATTCCAGCCTCTCTACTGGAGGACCTAGACAATCATATTTGGTGATTTCTAGCGGCAAACAATTATTCTGCGGGTTGATTTCCCATTCTTTTCAACCATTGTTCTTTCAAAAACCAGCCCTTTTCCCTGGGTTTCTGAAGGTTTTCAAGAAAGAAGGATTCCTGGAAAGAATGGAAATGGACGGAACCCCTAGAATTATCCACGCTTCAGCTCCGAACAATCGACAGGCTGATGAAGTGCTGCCATCCACCCGGATCACGGCCACTCAGAGCCCCTCCGCAAGAGGTCGAACTTGTTGGCCGGTTGGTCAGAAAAAGCATGTTGAGATGTGGGTGAGTGGGTGGGTGGGTGGGTGGGTGGGTGGGTGGGTGGGTGGGTGGGTGGGTGGGTGGGTGGGTGGGTGGGTGGGTGGGTGGGTGGGTGGGTGGGTGGGTGGGTGGGTGGGTGGGTGGGTGGGTCTCTTTTTAGGATCCGGAACACCGAAAATTATCGTCGTTTTCCTTTGGATTTGCCCTTCAACACCACAGAAAGGGGGTTCCAACTCCGAAGAAGACAGAATGCGAAAGGTGTTTGGAATCTGATGTTGTTGGCCGGCCAATCGATTCTGAGAAATTCTGCGAACTCCGCGAGTCTCGCGCGAATGGACACCTAGGTCCCCCAGCAATTGGTGCCCTTTTTAACCCCTTTTTTGGTTGGGAGATTCGGCTCCCCTACTAAAAATTGACTACAGAAAAAGGGCACCCTTATTCTAACCTCTCTACTAAAGGACCTAGCAGAACGTTGGTTGACATTTTACGTTGGTGGGAATCGAATCCGAAACTAGGGCTTCTGAACGGTGGTGCGGAATGGGATTTCGCAACCATCCAGGTCGGTTGGGGGGGGCGTTCAAGGATTCCCTAAGCCTGAGTTGCTGAAGCTATTCAAATGGATAGCAACCCCCTTGCCTACTTGCAAGTTTGTGCAGGTTTGTTCAACTGCGGAACCGGCGTAACACAGGCCCAACCAGGCGGGATCAAGAGGGCCAGGCAAAAAGACTGCGCAGATGATCTTTGCAACTTTGTAACTTCAGCCATTAGCTTGCTACTTTGTGGAGTCCGTGTTACCTTCCCCCAGGCGATTCCAAAGCTCCCGAGCGGACCCCGAAATGGAAGACCTGACCCACAGAGACCCATTGAATTGGGCAGCTTCCGGGCGGCTGGTCTGAGGGGGTGTTCTCGGCCGGCCGGAGAGCGGTCAGGAGACCATCATCACCCCCTACTTCGAGTTGGACTCCGCGGAACAGAGAGAAGCTACCAAGCAGCTGCGCCTCGGCGAAGCGTTGGAAATCGGGGCGGGTGCGGGTTTAGGGGACGTAGAACGTTTCTGACAGTTGCAATGGACTGAAAGGCTTTGGATTGGTTCGTATTTGGATTCAGTCTTGGTTCTTGAGTTTTTTCCGGACGCCAGCACCCAGAAGACGCCAAACCCGCAAACCCCGCAAGTGTCAAAGGGTGTGCTTGCACTGAAATCTCTTAAGATATTGCCCCAAAACTCCCGCAAATACCGGAAAATCGACAAGAAATTGCCCCAGAACGGCGTAAAAAAGGCGAACATCTACATGAAATTGCCACCAAATCAACGTAAAGAAGCCGTTTTCCTGTAGAACTTCCGCCAATTGAACGTGGGGCTCCTCCGCCCCTCCGCCGGCCGCTCCGGAGCAGAGGAAAGAGCCCGTAGACCGCAAGCTGCGGCCCGGGGAGTTGGTGGATGTCTGGGTCTGGCCCAAGAAGGAGGAGAAGCCGGGGAGCCCAGAAGGGCGGAATTTTAGCGATCCCAGAACCTGACGTCGTTTTTATTTTTTTTTGGGGGGGGGGAGCCCAGAAGGGCGGAATTTTATCGATCCCAGAACCTGACGTCGTTTTTTTTTTTGGGGGGGGGGAGCCCAGAAGGGCGAATTTTAGCGATCCCAGAACCTGACGTCGTTGTTTTTTTTTTGGGAGGCCCAGAAGGGCGGAATTTTAGCGATCCCAGAACCTGACGTCGTGTTTTTTTTTTGGAGCCCAGAAGGGCGGAATTTTAGCGATCCCAGAACCTGACGTCGTTTTTTTTTTGGGGGGGGGAGCCCAGAAGGGCGGAATTTTAGCGATCCCAGAACCTGACGTGGTTTTTTGTTTTTAAAGGGGGGGGAGCCCAGAAGGGCGGAATTTTAGCGATCCCAGAACCTGACGTCGTTTTTTTTTTGGGGGGCCAGAAGGCGGAATTTTAGCGATCCCAGAACCTGACGTCGTTTTTTTTTTAGGAGCCCAGAAGGGCGGAATTTTAGCGATCCCAGAACCTGACGTGGTTTTTTGTTTTGGGGGGAGCCCAGAAGGGCGGAATTTTAGCGATCCCAGAACCTGACGTCGTTTTTTTTTTTTTTTTGGGAGGCCAGAAGGGCGAATTTTAGCCCAGAACCTGACGTCGTTTTTTTTTTGGGGGGGGCCCAGAAGGGCGGAATTTTAGCGATCCCAGAACCTGACGTCGTTTTTTTTTTTTTTTTGAGGAGAAGGCGGAATTTTAGCGATCCCAGAACCTGACGTCGTTTTTTTTTTTTTTTTTTTTTTTAGCCAGAACCTGACGTCGTTTTTTTTTTTTTGGGTTTTATTTTAGCGATCCAGAACTCGTTTTTTTTTTTTTTTGACGTTTTTTTTTTTTGGGGGGGGAGCCCAGAAGGGCGGAATTTTAGCGATCCCAGAACCTGACGTCGTTGTTTTTGTTTTTGGGGGGGAGCCCAGAAGGGCGGAATTTTAGCGATCCCAGAACCTGACTTCGTTTTTTTTTTTTGGGGGGGGGGGAGCCCAGAAGGGCGGAATTTTAGCGATCCCAGAACCTGACGTCGTTTTTTGTTTTTAAAGGGGGGGAGCCCAGCGGGGCGGAATTTTATCGAGCCCAGAACCTGACGTCGTGGTTGATGAGCATCGCGTCGGTTTTTTTTTTTTGGGGGGGGTTGTGGTTCGAAGGAGCCCAGTGGTTTTTTACCCCAAAGGATTTGTTTCCTCCGGCTGATCAATGACTAGGTCCCCCAGCTAGGTGCCCTTTTACTCTTTTGGTTGGGAGATTCGGTTCCCCTAGCAAAATAGACTACAGAAAAAACAAGTTGGTAGCCTTATTCTAACCTCTATTGGAGGACCTAGAAGGATGTCCTCCATTGGCTGACAAATGAGCATATATGTTCAGTCTGTTTTCCCTGTTGGTTTTCAGGGAACCGATTTCACTCTTGGATTTCACTATTGGTTAACAGAACTTCACGTCGTTGTTGATGATCATCGTCGTTTTTGCTTGTGGTTCGAAGGTTTCTTTTTTTCAAGGTCTTTTTGTTTGGTTAGGTTGTCGTTGTTTTCCGTTTTTTACTCTTTTCCAAGTTGGGGGACTGCAAACCCCCCCCCCCCCCCAAAAAAAAAACAAGTGTTCGCTACCATGCCGAGGGTTGGAAACACCACGGCGCCGAACACAAACTGAACGCGGCGTTCGGCGTTTGACATATGCCACAAGGCGCCGAGACAGGGTGTTTTGAGGCACCGGAAGCTAACAAAGCGCGCGGCATTGAAATATGAGGCGACCCTTACTTGGTGGTTTGGATTTGGATTTAAAGCCCTGGCTCTTAGGGGAACCCAACCCTTCACCTCCAAGCCGCCAATTCAAACCAATTGGAGGGAAGCCAGAGGAAAGCCACCGCAAGAACAGGGGTCTTCAGATTTTGACGTTGCCTGGTCCTTGGTGTCACCCCGTAAGGGGCCCCCCCTGATAAAAGCAAAGGGCTTTCCATGAAACCTACGAAGGGTTAGGAAATGGGCGGTTTCCCATTTTGCTCCGATGGTACCCTCAAAAGTGCCTCATAGGGGACATCTATGGAGCCCCTTGATCTGCTCTCACGGGTTCGCTGCCTTTGGCAGTTCTTCTCCCGACTCCCTTCTGGTTGCTTAAGAAGGTGTTGGCGTGCTGCCAGCCACCAGTTGATTATTCACCCAGATGCCACTGGGTTTTGTTTGCGTGGTTTGTTACAGCTTGTTTCCCTATTGAGATTAACCAGTGTTCCTTGTGGTTTTGAATCGGAGTCCCGGGGGGTTTAAGCAAGAAGTGGCTTCCCAATGAGCCAGATGAGCCAGATGGCCCCTGCACAAATGGCTATGAACTTGGAGTTGGAACCACCTGATGGACACAAATCCCCCACCTTTTGATATCCAAAGGGTCCCAAGTAGAAGTCACTTCTCAGCTTGCAACTTTTCTTAAGGCACAACCTTGGTTCAGCAGCTCCAACTGTTTTGCAAGAGCTATCAAAAAGCCGCACTCTGGAGAGCGGGTAGTTGTCTGTTTCTGTGGTCCGCTGATGTTTTTTTTTTTTTTTCTGGGGGGGGCCTTCAAGCCGCTATGTTGCCTTTTGTCTGGGGATTGTTTCCCTCGGTTCAGATGGAGGAGAAGTCGAAAGGAGGTCCTCAGACTTCGGGCATTGACAGATTTAGAAACTACCTGCGAAACAGAAGAAAGTGCGATTCAGAAACTAAACTAGCTTCGCCCGATTCAGAAACTACTTCGCTTGATTCGGAAACTATTCTTGTCCGACTCAGAGACTAGTTTCTGCCGATTCAGAAACTACTGCCTCATTCAGAATCTGTTTTCGCCCGGCTCAGAAACTATTTTCGGCCGATTCAGAAACTATCTTCGCCCGATTCAGAAGCTACTTTCGCACATGCCTAGCAGATAGGGAGCGCGTCATGCCAGTTGGCATGGGTGCAGCCCCCCTTTTTGTTGTTCCCGGTCCCTGTGACTGAATATTGGGACAAGCCACGGATTTCTTGTTGCGCTGAATACATCAAATGCCTCAAATATTTGGGACCCCTGACATGATTTGCAATGGCTCCTTCCTGTAGCCATTGAGAAAGGGTGTGTTCCTTTTTGAGCTTACCCGTCCTTTGTGGTGTTACAGGGAACCAAAAAAATCTCTTTGAAGGTTTTGCTTGAAAAAAACACGCGCGAAGCGGTTCCCTCAACTTGCTGGTCCTCAGCAGATTTGGAATGCCCTCATAAACCATCCCCCATGGTTTTGTAGGGAATCCCCTTTCGGTTCCTTCCAACACAAACCCGGGAACAGTCATTCCCCGAGCACTTCAGACAGGACACGCCCCGCTTCCCTTCTCGCGGCGGGTCCGCGGTGTCGAGGTCCGGGCTGGTCCGCCTGAAGTGCAAGTGCCGGTCCGACGGCACGGTGGGCTGGGTGACGGCCGTGGGCAACGCGGGCACCGTCTTCCTTGAGGCGAGGGAACTGCGACAGGATCGGTTCCTCAAAAAGGGCTCCCTCGCAAAGAAAAAAACACACCATGAAACATCCAAAAACACCTTCTGGGTCTTGGCCAGGGCGTGAATTCCGCCCTTTTTTCTTTCTAAGGGCCTCAGGGCGTTTCAGCGGACAGGGACGACCAATCGCAGGGTGATTGAACGTGAGTTTCCCTCCTATGGCAAGAGTTGAAACCACCCCGAGGAAAAGGTTTACCAGCTGTTTCACAGTGTTTCTACATGCGGTTCGCGGTTTCTAGGTGCATTCTTTAAGGGACTCTGCCCCAGCCAATTTGTGTGAAGCTTTTCTTTTTAGGATATCGTTCTTGGTTAAATGGGAGCCACTTTGAAACCATCATTCTACGGGTTCTTAGATGGTGCAGGATTTCGTCCATCCACAGTATGTTGAGACAAACCCATTTGCAGGCGAAGCTCCAGACAGCAAGCTGCGCAACTTCACTGTCGATTGCATGTGTTTTAGCGTTTGAGTGTTGTTCTGTTCACTGTTAGGCTGAAAACAAGGCTTTCTGCACCATACTCAGGTTTGGGAAGACAAGGTGAAGTTGCCACAGTGGGGTCCCAAAGTTGGGTTCGGAGACCGGAAAACCCCTTGTTCCTTGTGGGTTGGCTAAACATCGTCAGACTGGCTCTGTTTTTTCGGGGGGCCCGGTTTCTGGTTTGTGTACCATGGTGCCTGTTTGTCAAAAATCTCAAACTCGCATGGGTTGCGGGTCAAAAGATGCCGACGCCTGGGGAGAAACAAAGACGCCGACGCGGCGGCGCTACGGCGCTCGCCCGCGCAGGTGGTGTGACCGGCGGTCGGCTTGCTGCCGTGAGCCCGGGGTCCCGAGAAAGCGCCCCGCGAAATCGATCGAGTTCAACTGGACTTAACACTTTTGTTTTAGTCGAAGAAGTTTGGACTCTTTTTTTGGGCTCATCCACTCGAGAAGTGAGTTTAATAATTGCAAAATAGTCTGAGAGTACACGAGGATTGCAAGAGTGTTCACCCCCCAGCCCCGAACAGCGCCAACTGTTCATGTTGACCCCTTTTCAACTTGAAGGGGGTGGCCTGGATTGGACTTGGGCTTGCCAATTCTTGACGCGTTGCTCATTCTGAATTTAGTATTGCCAAGACTTTGTCTCAGATTCCCGGTGCTCAGTTTAGCATTGCCACTTCTGCCTGTAGTGCTGCCAAGACTTAACCTAAGCTTCTCAGCGCTCAATCTAGTATTGCCAATTCTCAATTGCCAAGACGTCATCCCAGATTCCCGGTGCTCAGTTCAGTATTGCCAATTCTAGATTTAGTGTTGCCAAGACTGACCTACGATTCTCAACACTCACTTTAACTGCCAGTTCTCAAATTTAGTATTGCTAAGACTTAGTGTCACATTCCCGGTACTCAGTTTAGTATTTCCATTTTTAAATTTTGTGTTGCCAAAGCTTAGGTCAAGACTCTCAGCTCTCAATTTAGAATTGCTGCTCCGTTCAGCATTGCCGATGCCATTAGTGCTACCACGACTTAGCTTATTCCTGTACTCAACTGCGCATTGGCAATACTCAACTCTAAATTCAGTATTGCCAAGACTGCATCTCAGCTTCCCGGTAGTGTTACCAAGACTTAGCATAGGATTCTCAGCACTCAATTTGGCATTGCCAATTCCAAAGCGGAGCAGGGACCCCATTTTCATGTTGGCCGCCCTCTGCTGAGGCCTACCGGCTGAGCTTCGTGTCACTCCATGCCCGGCACGCTCGGACATGCCCTGTCTAGCTGAGCTGTCCACTGGAAAGAGGTGAACTTCCATTTGGGTATGGGTCAAAATTAAACCACCAGGGCACCAGGGTTTTGGTTCATCTTTCCACTTACCAGGGTTCCATTTGGGGTACGTATTTTTGACCCACTGCCATTTCTTGGAATGAAGATCTTTTCTTCTGCCCTGTTGGCTTCAAGGGAACCTAGCCTACCACTTCCTTACTGCACAACCCGGTGCAGTGCCAACTGGGCGATTCGGAACGCACAAAAAATATCGCGCGCGCGCCCAGCGGGCAACTTCGCGATGGCGGCCGCAAGCCGCAAGCCGCAAGCCGCCGCGTGTCAAAACCATGCGAGGGGCAACCAGTTCAGAGCAGCTTTTGGTAAGCTCCAAGTCGTTTTGACACAGTGACTCAGGAAGCGGACGTGCACTAGGTGCCCGGTTTGCTTCAGAGTCGGAGTTTATATGATCAAGGGCGTCGTCTCGAAGAAAGAAAACGCAGCATGCGACGCGAATCTCCTCGCTCTTGCCTGCCCAAGAGGCCCAAGCCCCACTCATGCAATCCGATTTTTCCCGCCCTCAGCTGGTTTGGTTTCCGTAGTTTCCTTACAGCCTCCCTTTGCGCAGCTTCAAATAATCGATTTTACCATTTAGGCCAGTTCGTGGATGTTAACATCACGTCTTGGGGCATGCAGTCAACTTAGCGGCAGTTTCCATTTAATCCACCAAAAGTTAAACTTTTAGCGGGGGATCTGAGGGCGGCCCAGTCAAGCATCCTCCTTGGGAGGATGCTTGTGGGTGAGGCAATATGGCTGTGGGTCAAAACCAATGGGATCCCATTTTGGGTCACCACCCAAATTATAGTCAATTTAGTTGGGATTGGGATGTTCACTGCAAATACGATTTGGATTTTGACCCATGGCCACATGAAGAGGCAATAACACAAGGATCATCCTGGGTGAATCATAATATTTTACCAGCCTGAAATAAGGTGGTTGGAGGGATATTCCCCACATAAACCACCAGTTGTGGGTGAGGCATATGGTTGAAGCACCAAATTCCGCGCCCAGAAGCCTTGAGATGGTGTCTGGGGTGACCTGGCCGGCGACCATCTTTGGCTCGCAGGGCGCTGCACGAGCCGAACGCGCGTCTTGGGGTTGTGGATGGACGAAAATCCGAAACCATTTAGGAAGTGATTTACCTTTGTTTGTACAGATAGCTAAATTAGCTAAATAGATAGATAGATAGATAGATATATATATATATAGACAATCATATATATATATATATGTATGCGTATTCCACAATTCTCTCGGGCTTCGCATGTTTCATCCATCCCAACTGGTGCAGGATTTAGCCAAATCCACGGTATGGTCACCAAGCCCTCAGTCACCCGCGGAATTGGACCCTGGAGTGACAAGGATTGTTCAAAAGCAGTCAGCACCCCCCGAGCAAAATCGCGGGGAAGGGCCGGCTGAATGGAACTGAGCCCACTGTTCGATCTGCGAGAAGTTCATCAAGGCGGGCCCATTTTCCCTAAAGGCCGGAAGGAAACCAACAGACGGCATTGGCAAGCCCCCCGCCAGATACCAAAAAGACCAGCCGTCCCCCCAAGGACAGCAAACGCACACACCCCGACCAAATCAAAAAAAACGACTAAAACAGATCCCGGGGAACAAAAAAGAACTCCAAATACCAGCACCAAAAAAAAGGGCAAACAACACCCATGCGCATCAACCAAAGACACAACTCCCCCCCAAAACCGCGAGAATCACCCAGGCCAAGACTCGATGGAACCCACGCACCAAAAACCCCGCGGAAGAGCAGCGATGAGCTGGGCTCGAGCCTTCGCGCAGCTGTCAGCGCCCTGCTGCTGCGCAGCCCGGCAGGGTTGTCGGTTGTTGGGCGAGTCGGGCGGGGCGAGTCGGGCGGATTTTTTCAATAAGGAAATGGAGAAGCCTACTTTACTTCACCAGAATTAGCTCCCCTTGTTGTATTTTTTGCTTTTTTGGGGTTCCCTTTGTTTTCCACTAACCAGGCAAAAATATATATTTTTTTGCTGGGGTCCTAATTCCAGCCTAGATACTAGGTAGCCAGCCATTTTATTTTTGGTGTTGAAAGGCTGGTTCCCTAGGTTACCTATACAGGTAAATGGATCCACTGGGTATGGTTCAGAGACTGGATGCCCTTGCCGTATTGCAAGTAGGGGAAAGCAAGAATACCTCCTAGTTTACTGCATTGTACCATGGTGTGGTTGAGTACTTGCATGTTCGTTACCAATTGAGTAAGTGGTTAGCCACTTGGGTTATCACCCACTAATAACCAGAACACGGTTAAGTCCACTGAATGGGGGACTCAAAAGTGGGTGAAAACCTAGGTTGCCAAGCAAGTACTCACTTGGCCGAACACCCAAGTGCCATGGCAACCACTTAGGGAGCTGATAGACCCTACATGCTTCATTCCCTGAATCCCATAGTTGCCGTTGTCAGATGTCAACAAATGTACTGCTTTGGAGCTTTAGTTGGATGGTAGACCCTGGGATTCTAGGGGGTCGAGGGTACCATGGCAAATGTTCCAGTCCTGAATTTTGCCTTACCTCCTTTATGGCAGTTTGCAAGGGGAATCTACCCTCACTTGCCCAAAGCGAATCGACCGGATATGACCTTTTACTGCTTTTCCATTGTTTGTCAAATTTTAGAGGTGCAACTGAGACTTAATTGGTGGTTGGGGTCATGCGCCTTACTGGATGCCGCAAACAAATCGCACGCAAGCCAACCCACGCCCACAAAACCTTGGCAGATTCCTGTCAATTTTCGGAGGCTCCCTTGTTCCCTTCGGCTTATTTAGGGCATCCACCGTTCCACCTTGGGGTGGGATCGAAAAAGGAAAACCGCGATTACACCAAAAGGGCTCCACAACCGGAAGAGGTGACCGGTTGCCCTCTTTTGATGGGTGGTTTGGATTTGAGCCCCTGGTTTTGTGTGGGAAAAACAACAATGGCACCAAAACGGGGATATTTTCTCCACAACAGGAAGAGAACTTTGGCGGTCAGGAAGGCCTTGTTTTAAATTGGTGCGGGTTGGCTTGGTGGAGGATTCGAGCCACAAATGCTTGCTGGAAGTCGGTTTCTCCCATAAGGCAAAGATGCAGCTTCATCCATTGAAAGAAAGAGCCTTTGCTCGAGTGCGATGTTGGGAGGCAAATGTATCGAGCCTGAACCCTCAGGGCTAAGAAATCGGAGAGCTTTGTCTCTCGCGGGGTGCATGCGGCGGAATCAGTCGCCGTTTTTGGAAGGTGTCAAACATAATTAGCACTATATATATATATATCTCTCTCTCTCTGTGCCTCTCTTTGTCTAGATGTTTGCTTCTTGTTTTCCTTTCATTGATTCATGCTGGCCGCATCTTTGGATGCCAGTTGGTGTTTCAGGCAGTTTGGAAGAATCGGCCAAAACAGATCGGGCACTCCCAACTTGTCTCGTCGGCTGGTGTGGGCTTTCAAGAGATTCTTGTGATTCATAGGGTGCTTCTGGCTGGTTTGAGGTTTGCACCATGGCGGCTTCAATAGAACTCACTCCCTGAGTTTGCCTCGGGAAGCCAGGTTGTTTCCAAAGACATGCTAAGAAGCGTTTATTTGGCTTCACGAACTGAGGTTCCTGGACTTATAATTTTTTTTTGGGTTTGGACCATTTTAGTGGTACACGCATGTTTGGACTTTTTGGTCAGCCTCAAGAAGTAAGAAGACTTGCCAGGCCAAGTCCTTGGCAAGGTTGTCGGGCTCGTTTTTTTCCTTTTTTTTCCTTTAATTATAAATCTGTTTCGGGTAGGGAAACCAAAAGAACACCATTTTGGGGGTCCCCTAAGAAAGGGACCCCCCAAATAGTTGACTAGTACAAATTTTCCGGACCCGTATTTCAACTCCGCCGCTCTAAGGAGGAGAAGAGCGGGGACAGTGTGCATGTTGTCCAGCTGTCTGTGGACGCGGTCATTCCGGCCGTGCACAAGTTGGACACCCCGGCCTTTGTCGCTGGTCTTCTCAACCTACTGCGTTGAGTAAAGCAAACGGAATGAGGGGTTCTTAAGCAGGGCTCCTTAAAAGATACATTTTGCCCATTTGAAACATGGCTTTTTCCACCAAAATAAAGGGAACCCACCATTTACAAGGCAATGTTCAGGTGTATAATGTAAGGATGCCTGTTAAGGTTTCTTTGGGGGGTTGCTTCCCCTGTTTGCGCCACAGTTTGGAGTTCTAGAGGGCACTTTTGAGGAGGTCATATGGGCCCGAGGCTTGGCAGAACGCGCCAACGCATCCGCTCTGGTTCTCTTCCATTTGCTTGCGAAGAGTTTTTTTTGATGTTCCCTTCTTGGTTTTAAAGGGAATCCATTGCCACTGGACATGTTGCCATATTTTTCTAGGGAGCGAAAAAGCAAAAAGCCGGTGTGCAGAAGTTGCCTGTGCGGGTAGTTCTGCGGGGCACTTCTGCCGGGTATCGTGGACACCCCAAGCCCTAACGGGTTACCATTTGGTGCCATACCTGGCTTGGGCATGACAAATAATGTTAACCCCGGATAAGACAAAAAAAACCTAGTTGATTGGGATTGGGGGGTTCATCCCCCTTTTAGTGGGGATTCAGACCACTTTTGGAGGGACCACCCCACCAATACTGGGACGGGTTTATTGATCCTGGGTCAACGTGGTCCGAAAAAGTGGGAGCCACACATTGGTTACGGTATGCCGAGTTGGTGCCACACATCAGGTGCCACACCTGCGCAGCGCCGTTTTTTCGATTCGGCGCCGAGGTGGGGTCGCCCAAAGCCGGGGGGAAAGCTGTGCCGCGGTGGCTGAGGACGGCGGCCCGCTGCGACGTGCCCAGCTGGTTTTTGGTGGAAGATAGGCTTTTAGCAGACCTGGGAACCGCCCTGGTTTTTTTTCCCATGTGCACAGCAACATTTTGCATTCGATCCCCAAGTCTCGACCTACTTCACAAGAAATGCGGGGGGTAAGAAACCCGGAAAAAGCGGCCTTTATTGTTGTTGTAGGTCCAAGCAGGAAAGGGGGGGCATGTTCCACAACCGGAGGGAACCCTTGGCATCAGTTGGGCCGCCCTGCAAAACCACTCCGAGTCATCAACTAGACGGAAGCGGAAGGGCGGCTTCCACTGGTCTGGTCCTTCTTCTCTTTTTTTTTTTTTTTGGGGGGGGGGACGGGGGGGGGGGCGGGGGGTCTGGACATTTTGAGACAGGCCCAAAAAATGGTGGAAATGCTGGGTCAACGTTGGAGAATGTCTGATATCTTTGCTCAGCGCGAGACCCTCCCATGGCTCATGCACCTTTCGGAGAACCGAACCCCGGATTTCATGAATGTTTGGTTCACAAACAGCCCAGGTACCCTCCCACCAGCTAGCGTGGGTGAGTGCCTTCGGACCCCTGTAGAAAGACGACTTTCCTCTTGGAAAGGGCCTCTTTGCGCTTCCATGTTTTGTTAGTGGGAGGGAATCCCCAACAGCCCCTGGAACCTGCAACCCTCCCAAAAAGCCGCTCCCTGAAAGCTGCTTTCCCCCAGGCCACCCCAAAGCTTCAGCTGGGCAGAGACCCCCTGGCTTCAGCTGGGAAGAACAGGGGGTGGTCCCTGACCCCAAAAGGGACACCCCCCCAAGAAAACTCAAATGGCTGTTGCAAGATGGTAAGGGAGGACCAGGATTTCAGGTGACATAACGGGAAGGTGCATAAGACTCAATGCGGGGTGTTCCATTAGCCCTGGGGAAAAAAAAGGCACCGTTCCCGGGGGGGGGGGGGGGATGGACAAGGCCCTGACATGCTCGGGGCCTTGTGCTGCACTGGAAGAGGCCCTGCGTTTGAATCCCCAAATCATCGTTTTTTTCTTTGGCAAGCTGCAGGTCGAACAATGATCAGGTTCGTGGCTAGAAATGCAAAAATGGGTTCCCCCCCCTTTGAAACACCATGAAGACACCATGAAAGGGTTCACGGGTTCAGATGCTCTCAACCATCCGGTGTTTGGCATCAGCATTTGGCGCAACCTCCTTCCGCAGGGAGCGTCTTCTGGACCCGGGCTTCAGCAACCTCTCGCCGAAGTCAGGCCGGGCGATTTGAGTCCAGCGAGTGCCGTGCTGAAGGTCCCCTTTGCGGATCACGCCCTTCGTGGGTTGCTGCCTTTAACTTGTAAATGCTTGCGTCAAAATCGAGAATCGCCCCGAAGAAAATAGGTAGGTGTCCTTTCGGTTTCCCTTGAAACCAGCTCAAAAGGCGTGGTAACTCAAGACTTGATGGCATATTTGGTTGGATCTTTGAACTTTAACTTGGGAAACGGTGGGTTCTCCAGTGGACCCACCAGTGATTCACTTTTTGCAGAGGGGTCCTTCCAGCAACCAAGAGAAAACGGACGCGCCACCCAGACGGAACCCAAGTTGCTGGGCGGTGTCGCGTACCCCACGACCGGGACTCAGGGCTTTAGTTGGATATGCCATGCAACACTTCGCTGTTCTTGGCATGTTTTTTGTTTGTTTTTTTAGTTTGTTGGTTCTGTGTCATTTTTACCGGGGGGCTGCAAAAAGCAAAACGTCTTTGCTACCATGCCAATAGTCGAGATGCACAACAAACGCCACTCGACAGAGGGGCACTTCTAGCTGCTGGTTGGAAGGGAGCCTCTCGAAGCTACCAGGAGTCCTGTAGGCAAATGGTAGGCTTTCCATTGCAGTGGTTTGGGGATAGTGTTTTCGGGGTTTTCCCCTCACTGAGTTCAACCTCGACCGCAAACTTTTTGGGTTTGGACCCTTTTATGTGCAAAATGACAAGCTTGGACTGTTGTTGGTCAATCCACTCAGGAAGCGAGATTCAAAAGGGTGTGGGTCGTAGATAGGAGTCCTCCTCTGTTTTCCCCCCCCCTCCCAGCCGCTGAAAGCAGTGGGGTCTTTGCCCAGGCCAAGGTTCCGGAGGGTTCCATGGTTCCGGGGCTGTTGGGGACACCACCTCACCACCTGACTGCATTTTTCCTGACTGGTTTTGGGTGTGCCGCCTTTGGGGTACTTGGGATGAAGGGGCTCCGGTCCAAGCGCGCCCATGGCCGAGGACAACCGGGCCCGGGGAATGAGGAGCTGCTCGGAAGGATGGGTTGGGAGCGGCTCGAAAATGCCGCGCAACCAGGCGGCACTGTCTGTGCTAAAGTAGCTGGTGGTAGGGAGCCGGACTCGGAGCTGGAGGTTTCCGAATTTTTGCTTTTACAGAAAAAGTGGGGATGGTGCCAACTCAAGCCTCAAGCCTGCGGCGGAGACGTTCCCAGGGAGATTTGTTGCAGACCATTCCAGCTTGAAAGGCTGCTGTCAAAGGCGGTCCAAGTAGTCAACAGTCAGTTCCCAGATTTGGGGGGGAGAGGACCTCCCATCTTGCCGTTAAAGCCGAGCAATAAGGGATGCCCCAAAAGAAGACGCAGGGAGCCACAAATTCAGCCACAAAACCCTGGTGAGTTACAGGAAATGGGGGGGTTTCCTTGTCGTGTCCCTGTACTTGTAATTAATATGGTATGGGTCGAAATTAAACCACCAGGGGACCGCAGGTTTTAGTCCATGTGTCCATGTACGAGGGTTCCATTTTGGGGAATTTATTGTTGACCCACGGCCATATGACAGGGGCATCCTCCGTCCTCCGTCCCTGTCCCCTCTAGAAATATCTGGGGCTTTTGACCGTTGCCCTACGCTACGTGTGACGCTCTAGGCTGCAAGTCTACCAAGACGGCATCGTGGATTTGATCGCGGGGCTTCACTTGACGCACGTGACTGCCAACCAGGCGAACGCCCTTGACGAATGATGATCTGCCGTGCCGTGGGTTGCGAAACCCTCTTACGCACCAAAGAAACCCCGGCAGGGTTCGATTCCCCAACGTAAATACAAACAGTCGTGGTTTTCCGTGGATTCAAACTGGTCCGGATGTTGTCCACTCACAGTAGGACAGATTTGAGTGCTAGGTAGTGGGTTGTACCCTGCCCCCACCCACTAAGAGTGGATGAACATGTGGATCAACGACCACTAAGATGGTCCAAACCAAATTGTGGTCGCAGGCAAGGCGAATGTACATCACGGTTCCTTATTTTCTGTACTATGTGTCAAACAAGGGGGAACCAACCAAATGGATGTCGGTAGTCCTTTCGGTTTCCCTTTCCACCAATTTGAAAAGGGTACATCTCAAAGAGCCAACGCCATCTCCAACGGTACCAACTCCAAAAAAACGCACACGCATGGGCTCCAAGAAACGCACCTCCCTCCAGAAGCTCCATTTGGATGGCTGAAATGAAAGATCAAGGGACGCCAACCAGTTGGGGCCCGAGTTTGAGACCCACATCACTTCTTCGCTTATGTGGAAGTCAGCTTTTCTTTTTGGTTTGCCTTCTTTACCGAGCTGAAAGGGACCGTCCAAACAGAAACCACGCCCAATGTGCGCCAGGAGTACGCGGACGTCTTCTGCAAGCTGATGCCGGACCTGGCCACCCTGCAACTGGAGCACTGCGGGGACGTCATGGCCGAGTTTCCGCGCCCCGAGTGGATACAACCTCTGCATGGGTGGGCCCCTTTTCTTGGCTCCCAGCCATCTGAATCTGGTTCCTGAGCTAATTGTACTCGTCTTTTTTGGAGTTGGTACCCTGTTTCAGGTTGGATTGAAGGAAAACAAGAAGGAAAACCCAGCATGTCAGGATACCCTCTTTTTTTTGCACACCCATGGGTTTACGTAAAGGTGCAGCCAAATGCGACCAAACATGGCATCCCAAAAGTGGGAAGGACAGCTATTTGGCCGCCAGTTGGTGGGATCGATCCCGGCATGGGCGGCTCGTCATTTTTTGAACCCGTGCCCTTTTGGGGGTGCTTCTTTTCCGGAAAGACACTCAAAGGTGGCGGACAGTCCGTTTTCAGCCATCCCCTTTACTTGCAACCACGTGAAGAAAATGGTGCCATCTACTTTCACCACGGTGTACTTATACTTGGATGTTCAATCAGCTGGGCAAGTTGCAACCAGGGACGGGACTGGGGAAACTTCCCGCCAGCGAGGAGCCCCTTTTCCATACGGGAAGCAAGGAACGCACAAGTTTGGCGGGTCAAAGTTAGGGACACTTTTTGGTATCCCCCGGGTCCAAGAAGGGGCCATAGTTTTGACCACCCCCAAGCGTTTCCCGTTTTGGTAGCTTCATCACCTGTGAAGGCATGTGAGGGCCGTCCTAAAACCCCAGTCTTCGGTTTTAATTATCGCCGAACGGGGAGAAGTAAAAGTTGTCAAAAGCTGTGCGCGCGCAAGGAGCGCGCAAGTGCGGCCCAAGGGACGCGCAAGGTTACAGTTTTGAAGGGTTTCATGTACTGATGTTGCCTAGCTTCATGAAAGGAGGTGATATCTTCTTGCTGTACTTGTGCTTTTCGAATGTTGCTTGGGTCATGTGTAGGTCACAAGCTTGTTTGCAAGGGTGCCAAACGAAGCCAAAGCTTCTGCGGTCATGACTTCCACAATCAGCAACTGACACGACAAAATCCGCGCAAGCCGCGCGCAAGCCGCGCGCAAGTTGCGCGCAAGCACGAGAAGCCCCAGCAAGAACATCTAGCCATGCTGCCTCGGATGTCCTTAGCGGCGCGGTTCAAGCAATGGATAGGCACCCGCAACATGCACTTTCCTTCTTTCAGGCTGTGTCCAAGGTGTGTGGCAGAGCCTGCTATCCTTTCTGTTGGGTCAAGGGTATGTTGCTGGCGTTGAATTGCCGGGAGCGACCTCAGCGGGAAGAGTCTTTGTGGGTTGCTGTGTGAACGACAAACACACTGCTTAGAAAAGCCTGCGCGCAATCCACACGAAAACTTCGCAAACCGAGGTCGACGAAAATGAGTTTCTGCGCCACTGCGCGCACGCAAGTCCGCGCAAGTGCCGCGCAAGTGCGGCCCAAGGGCCCACTCCCGGGCAAAGGAATATAGGACAACCCCCATGTGTTTTCGAGCTTGCACCGTTCCCTTGAACGTTTGGCTAGGCCAAGCAATTGACACTGCTTAAATGCAGATGGGAGGAATTGTGCCGGCCACTCGCACCACTTGCAGAGGGCAAATGGGAACCCACCTGGTAACCTGACCCAATTGAAATGGCTACGTGGGTCAAATGCAATGGTACCAGTTTGGGGTAGGTGCACCACCCATTTTAGAACCTATTGTAGTGGGGATTGGAATGTTCACTGGCAGACTGGGGGTACACTCATGGTCAAATGGGAAGGAAGCTGACTCTTGGTGCGGGATTTGGATAAGTCCGCGTGCAAGCAGAGTAGATGAGAAGCACAACCAGCACTACCAAGACAAGATTTGTTCTCACACAGCCAGGAGAGGATCAGCGCAGGTGCCCCACTAGGTTTAGCAGGGCCAGCCTCCGAAGCCGCCCAAAGAGAAGCCAAAGCTCTCGGTGCCTCGTTTGAGGCTTGGGGGCGTCCTGTGGCTTGGCTTCTTCGGGGGTCGGCCAGAGGCGAAAGGCGGGCGGCCGGATGCGTTAAAGGGAAACCAGAAGTAAACCAAGCATTTTAGAGGCATATTCTTTCAGAGCAACATGGGTTAGCTTTTCCAACTTGCCTCTGTGGTATACTTCTTCAGGCTAGCAGCAGGAAGCCGTTCAAAGTCCTGCTTCCATGTTAGTCTGGGGGAGGGTACCCCGGATTTGAGACGACGGGTGTCCTGTCTGGGTGATTTGTTTCAAAATAGATGGCCCTGGACTCAGCTTGGCTTGGATACTTTGCTAGATCCAATTTTTCCAGAAGGCACAGGCGGAACCCTTTGTCAAAAATGTGAACATGTCTTCCAAAAGGGGCGGCTCTACACTTTTTAGTTTTGTGTTCAGATGTTTGATTATCATGTCCCATGCGATGAAGAAATTGTGTTCACCTGGAATCCGCTGGGTGCCCTTTCCACAAACACATGGACACGCATTTTAAATTGAGCACCACCACACAAGGTCCAAGTTGTTGGTGGAAATGAACCCCCAGCGAATGATGATGTCCACCAAAGAGTCCCCGCTTCAAACGAAGAGCATAGAGCAACTTGGTTTTCAAGGACCTGCTAGGTGCTCTCGGAGCTGTTCCCAGCCAATCCTCGGGCTAAGCGGGCTAAGCCACGAACAGTTGAGGCCTAGCGGGGATGTGAGGACGGCGGACGGCCATCAGCGTGAAAAACGAACCGAACAATCCCTAGCTTTCATAGACCCAACTAAGCCCTGGCTACCACATGCGGTTGGATGGCGGGTGCGGTTGGCTGGGAATGGGGAAAGCTCAGTTGTTCAGTGGCACCCTGTTTCCCTTCTTTTTTTCCTTCCCCTTTTTTGGTGGCTGCCCCACTAAACATGGTCTTCCCCAAACAGGGTCCCCTTTTTTCCCCAGGGTATCCCAGGGTCACTAAACAACTGAGGAAGGGTTTTCGGTTTAAACCCAGCGTCATTGATAAATCTGCGCTTGGCTCAGGAAGATCTACAGCGACTCTGCCGCAATGGATGGGCCTTTTGATCTTCCATTTGCTTAAGAATTGGTTTATTTTTTGTTGGTTTTAACGGGAATCTATCCCTTACGGAAATATTTTTCCCAGGAGTCCTAACCAAATGGAAGATGATGCGTGAATTGGAGCGGCGGGGCACGGGTTGGGAAAGCGGGCCAGTGTGGCACATCGGGTGCGAAGCTGCAAATTTGGCAAGGCGCCTTGAGAGCGGGGCCAAACAAAAAGCCAAGAAGCCCTTGCTGCCTGCTGGGTTTAGCGGCTCTCCGTGAGCAATGGGGCAAGTTTGTTTTGGTTTTTGCGTGATCAGCTAGGAGCTTCTTTTTGTTGGGGTAGTGTCCAAAAGGACACACGCACACAGACATATGGTTTTCCTAAGGAGTGTCATCATCCGAATTGGGTCAACCTCTTTTGAACCTTCCTAAGACAATTATCATTATTGCTCAAGTAAATCGTTGTCTATTTCTCCGTGTTTGTTTTTAAGGGAACCTATCATCACTGCTCACATTCTCTTGCTGGTGCCCAGTAGGGAATGACCTTCCCGGGTGTTGGGAATGAACCTTGGGATTCCCGGACTGCTGAGAACCAGCAAGTGTTCGAGGTTTTCCGGGGGCCGCATGCATAGGCTGAATGTAAATGCCCATGGATGAATTGTATGGGGTAATTGGGGCCCCAAATTCAATTGGCCATGGGTTCGTTTATGTGGGCCTATATCCCCTCGGCCTTTGAATGCAGAGAGATGGCGGATTCACACTCACACAGACCTATGTCTATGTATATATATATATTATACATATTATGTATATAATATATAGTTATACATACACACACATATATACATATATACATATACATATACATATATATATATTTACACATACATATACATAGGTGTCCACATGATATAACCACGGAACCTAATACAAACCCATGCCGTCAGTTGGCTTCGATGCGCGTCGCGAGTCGCGTCGCGAGGGATCGTGAAGGCCATCGACCAGGCCCAGGCCCAGGGCCTGGCGGACCGGAACCGGACCAGCTTCCCCTTCCAAATGCTGGACCGCCCGGGGCGGACATTTTTTTCCAGCGGCCGGGATTTGTTTGTTCTTTCTCGCGCGCCCGAAGTTGTTTTTTTCTTTCCGCGGGGTGTGACACGAGCGAGCCATGGCCCGTGTTTTTTTTTTTTTTTTTGGAACCTCCCAAAAGGGGGCGGGTTTTGGTGGGAAGTGCCGCCAAATTGATCGACTCGGGGGAATCCAACCCCTGTGACCTCTTAGTCCTAGAACCTTTTGGAAGCAAACATGGGTTTGTCTCAGGCGGGGACCTCTTTTGCAATGGGAAAGGGAATCCAAAGCACACCTACCCGGGCTGAAAAATGAAACCAAGCGGAACCTGGGCCCCCCAATTTGGAGAAACACACGATGAAACCAGGAGCCCCGGCAAAAAAGCAAACCTAAGGTCGTGAGTGCTACCTTTTGCTCCTTCGGGGAGGGGTTTCTCCCCGTGGTCGCAACTGGGAGATCTTTTGTGCGCAAGGTGTGGCTTTGATCACTTTTGAAGGGGAGATCCAGTGACCCCTGTTCAGCCTAAGCTCCTTTCCCTCTCACGGAAAACATGTCACCCATCCTACGCAATCAGTCCCGCAGTCCACGGTTGGCACCTAGTTGTGCGTTGTAAAGTGGGCGACTGCAGTGCCTGTTTCACAGCAGGGCGCTTACAGGGCAAAGCCTTGGGTTGGGTTAACGGGTTCGCCCATGAGACAAGCCCTTTTGCGCCAGGCCAGGAGTTGCCTGACAGAAACCAAGGTTCGGGGACAGTCACCAGAATCAGGTGCAGGATGTACGATCAGTTCGCGATGTTCTTTAATGGATTTGGATGGACTTTTTCAATACCGGGTTTAGATGTTGACTCTTGTGCTTGACTACTACTGGGTTGGATCTTTAGACTTTAACTTTTTGGCAAATATAATAAAGGTGTTTTCCACTAAACCCCCCAAAAGTGAAAACACTTTTTTGCAGGGGGGTCCTTTCAGCAACCAAGTGTGTGTTGTTTTTTTCCCGCTTTGGGCAAAAGTCAGCTAACACCTCAGGACGCCGAGCACATCGTGGTCATCCAGTTCCCGCTCCCTGGACACGTTGGGGGCGCTACCTGGGTGTCGCAAGCACCACTTTGGACTTCCTTGGCACTTGGGTGGGTCTGGACAGGCCACCTGTTCTCTGGGATTGTTCTCCTTTTTCTTTGGCGGGGGGGAGGGACCTAAGGCAGAACTTGCCACACCGCCTGTTGTGTTTTCTTTTTAAAGGGGGCGGGGGCCTAAGGCAGAACGAAGCACCCTCCCGAATCCCCCCCCCCCCCACCTCAGACCTCAGACCTGAGACGCCAGGCGGCGCAAGCTGGCCTTCGTCTTTGCGGACCCGGTGGTGGCCCAACGGTTCCTCCTGACGCTGGAGGTCTTGATCGGGCACGTGCAGGAGGAGCACGCAAAGCACCTTGAGCCGATCCAGGGGGGTCAACCCGGCTTTGGGTTGGTATGATAAGCAAACTGGAAGGAACACCAGCCAAGGGGACCCCTATTTTGACAAACATGGGGTGTGTCTTTTTTGGAGGGTACCCTTTCAGGTTTGTGTTTATTGGGAAACTCACAGGGAAACCGAAGTCCTTTTTTGGGGGGCTCAACGCGTTCCCAAATGGGAGGCATTGGAACTTTGTGTGCTGGGAAGAGGAGCCTTTTCTCGGCCATTCTGTTGGAGAATTCTTTGCGCGTGTGTGTGTGTGTGGCCCCTTAAGCTGTAACGGGGATTCCTTGATCTTGATTGGGCAAGCTCGCAGGCGTAGGGAACGCTTCCGGATTTGAATACGATAAATGGGAACCCTCCCCATCTCCAAGCCACCAATCCAAGCCACCAATTGGATCTGGCCTACGCACCAGGTCTCTTTGAACCCCGAATTGCTAAACGTGAGGTTCCATGTCTCACTTCCTGAGGTCATGGACTTTCAACACTCTTTCGGTTTGGACAAATTTCTCTTTTTTTTTCTTGTAAGAGTTTAGACTCCTTTTTTTGGTCCAGTCCGCTCAAGTGAGACATGTTTCTGGATGGAAGGTACTTCTGAAGAGCTCCTTGTCGGATCCGATCGAGTCTCATTTCCCTTCGATCCGGTCCTCCGATCCTCTGAAGGCCGAAGCGAGTCCAGCCCCTCTTCTGATTGGCCCAACGTCTTTGGCCAAACTGGAGAGTCGCGTCGAGTCGAACACCGACAGATCATGGAGAGCTGCCTTTCCTTCATTGGGACCTCAACAGGCTGCTTTCAAGTGACGGGTTTTTGTTGGTACAGGTTCTTAGGTAGAAGTGCGGGCAAGCCGCGGTGATAGCTCTAAAGTGATGTGTTGTGTTGTGTTCTTTTTTATGGAGCAGTTTGCCTCAAACTTGAAGTCTTGCTTTTCTTATCTGTTCAACGCTAGATGGCTTTAAACTATCTTTTGGTACGTCCCATATGAAGTTCTGGGGTGTAACAGTCGTCTTTGGGAAAGAGGGCATGTTGTGATGGATTTCCAGCCTCGAAGGTGGTATAGTGGCACCCCACACCCCGGACCTTGCGAGAGCTCCTGGATTGGATCCTTCCCTCATAAGGATTCTTAGGAAATATTTGGATGTTTAGGCAAGTTGTGAGTGGTTACCCACCTGGGTTGCAACCCACATTTCTACAGGGCTAGCTCCACTGAACGGGCGACTTATACGTGGGTTACCACCGAGTGGTTACCAACAACTGATTAACTTGGCAACGAACACCCAAGTAAGATGCGATTCATGGGATGGGTCTTCAGCTTGAAACGCGGTTTGATGGGTACACCTGGATTGGTTTCCGGGGAAAAGACGGGGGGGATCAACCTGAGTCGTTCGGGGTCCGGTGTGGGGTACAACGGCGGATGCGGCGCGAATCTGGCGCCCTGCTGTAGGACGGATGTTAGTTGTGGAATTAGTTGGCCTCGATCTGGGTGCGTGTTTTTCCAAGGGTGCCCATTTCAGGTTGTTCAAGTTCGGCAAATCTAAAGGAATGCCGAACACGGTTGTGGGGGTCCGCAATTTTGACACATACTCATTACTGATTTTGCGGATCATTCTCAGGGCTTTGCTTAAGGGTCACATTCTGTTAAGGAGCCTCACACAAAATATGGTAAAAGTGTCTTGTCTAGCTGTCATTTGCGAGGTTTTGTTTCTCAGGGTCACTTTCATTGCAAAATCGGGCGATCAACTAATCATGGGGGCATCGCACATGGGAAGCTACCCCCCAACATCCAAACCACCAAAGAAGAGCGCCATGGTTGAGGGAAGCTAACTACTCGTGGGCTCGCCGCTTTGTATCGCACTTTACTTTTTATGAGTGCACTCTCATGTAAACTTAAGAGCTTATGGGTGGGAAGTAACCACTCTGGTAGGGCAAGCCAATTTTCCACAACCAGGTCCGCAACTCTCTCAGTGCCTGTCCCAAATGGGCTCAGGATCAGTGCGATGAATTGGGAGCTGAAAGCTGGTGGAGTCATGCATGCTTGGGTTGGTGATGGGTGCAAATGTGTTTGTTTCTCTTGAGGCTACCCTTTTGGGGGTGGTTTGGAGCCGTTTCCCTTTTTGGGACCTTGAGAAGTGGCATGTTCAAGGGAAACCACCCGTCAATTGCATTTTTTCGGGGTTGCAAATTCTGGACGACAGCCAGCACGAGTCCCGCATGCCTTTGTAAGATCTAAGCGGGTTGCAACTTCTTTCCAAGAGACCAAAGCACCCAGTGAAAGGAACCCATTCTTCTCGCTGATGCGATAGGTAGGGAATGAGAAATTGAACGAACCCAGAGATTCCAACTTAAACACTTAAAGGAACCTCCAGTTGGATGGTTTATTTCGGGGTCATTCCAACTCATTCCCTGCTGAGCACCAGGTTTTGCCGAGTTTCGCCCAAACGGCATCGCAGCAGTTTTGGCTCAGCTCGTGCTAGGGGCCAGCGTGCCGTCTACAGGCCCGGGGTCGATTGGTGACGCTGAGGGACCTTGCGAGAAATTTGTGCAGCCCAGAACCGGCAACCAAGAAGAAACACTCTCAATCTCCCATTTCTTAGAGAAGATTATCTTGCGTCGATCCTCTTGGTTTTAGGCGGAATCTATCGCTGGACATATGTTTCTTTCATTTTTCCGGACGAGACAGCATAAGCGAATGCCACCGGAGGGCTTCACGCGTCCGCCGGGTTTCCCCACTTCCGAGGCGGAATCATGGATCAATCTGAGGCTCGAATTCTCGCAAAGCCGCTGGGAGGGGCCAGGAGTGCAGGGCCCCAGTGGCCCCGGTGGCCCCAGTGGATCCATTGACCGGCTTGCCACCGCATATGAGAAACAGGACAGTAGCTGGCTACCTACTCCAAGGGCAACTGGGATCCCACTGGGCAAGGAGGGGGGGATGTTTTGGACAGAGTGTGGTGAGGGTCAAAGTGGCTAAACATGTGGGACCACCTCGACTAGGTGTTTGGAAGGGACCGGCGGGACATCGATTTTTTGCCTTAGAGGAAGCCTTTTGGAGCTACCAAGAGTTCTAAGTTAGTTGGGTAGTAGTCAACTGGGTGGTTTTTTGGGGACGGATCGCAAAGGAGCAGGAATCCGTGATCTGTTTTATCACAATGAGCAAAGATAGCGGGCCCTTGCCGTCTTATCATGGAAGTGGGGGGGGGGGGTGTTGGAAGACTATCATCCTCTTCAACTCCTTGACTCTTGGAAAAAAGGGCCGTGAGAAGAAATGGTTGGTTTGGGAAAAGGGCGCTATGTCATCAGCAAAAGGACCCCTTAGTCAGAAGACCTATTTATTTCTCACCCCGCTGGGGAATTTTGGGCAATTAGAATTCCCAGAGAGCCAAGACAGGGTTTGTCTTGGCGTTTTGTTTTCCCCTGGGCTTCCTTCCTGTAGGGTCCCTCTTTCAGGTGCTTGCTTTTGGAAAAACAACCAAACAACCCGGACCTTCAAACTATTCCGCCAGCCGCTCCCCAAGTTCAACTGGTTTTTGGGTTTGAAACAATGTAGTGGCAAACAATCAGTTCAGATGTTTTTGTGCCCATCCACTCGGTTGTACCCAAAGTGGCCTAAAGGCCGGGTGCTGATCGGTCTGCCGTGTGGCTCAGAAGAGAAGGCCTCCAATTGAGAGAGGTCGATTCAACGACAGGCGTCTCAGGGGATGGCCCAACACCATGCCCTGGTTCCCTTTGGCCATTCCGAACCAGCAAGACTTCCGAACAATGGCAGGCTCTTACAAAAAGGCAACCACAATTGGGCGGGTGTTCAGGTAAACCGCCCAACACGACCCAGTTGCTCGGGCCAGAGAGAGAGAGAGAGAGAGAGAGAGAAAAAGAAAAAAAACACAAAGAAGAGATACCCAGCTAATCTCCTACAGATTAACATGGAACTCGCAAAAGTACTACACGTTTTAGGATCGGAATTGCCTGTTCTTGTAAATGGACCCACTCTTGATTAATGTTTTGCAGGGGGAGTAATGCCAAACAAGAAGGCCTTCCCCCACCCGACTGAAGCTGCCTTCCCCAAACTAGCTCTTTTTTGGGCAGTGGGCCGCCTTTCCTTGGTCAATTTTTGCAGGGGAGCATGCGCAACAGGGCCGGCCGGAGCTTGCGGCTTGCACCCGCCAGCCGAGCTCAGCCGCCTGCGTTCGGCATCCGAGGCATCCGCAGATCATGGTTGTCGTTGGGAAACCTCCCATTCTTTTGCTTTGTGGTTGAGTGGTTGGAATCCAACCACTGAACTGCAAAAACATAAATGGAACCTTTTTGCTCCCCAAACCCAGCGTCAACCAAACAAAACCGCCCGCAGGCCGTGCAGGCGGCGAGGGCCAAGCTGGCGCAGAAGTTCGACGCCGTGCGCACCGGCGGTAAGGGCACCCAGCGCCGCAGCTCGGCGAGCAGCGGGTGGCGCAGTGCGTGGGACGGGCGGCGCGTGGAACGGGCGGCGCGTGTTTTGTGGCGAAGACGCGCCGCGCCAAAAAAAGAAGCAACGGGGAATTTTTGGTGGGCGGAAAAGGGGGAAGCGAGCCGCAAAAGAAGAACAAGGGGAATTTTGGAAATTTTGACATGGGCGAAAAAGGGGGAAGCGAGCCGCGAAAAGAAGAACAAGGGGAATTTGGAAATTTTGGTAGGAGCCACAAGGTTCCGCTGCAAATGATGGACTTTTTGTTTGGGGGGATCGGATTCCATCGGATTCCATGCACGGAAAAAAAGGGCGCCCTGTGATGCTGGCTGAAAAATGAAGATGTTCATTTTGCCCGTTGGTTTTGAGGGGGATCTACTGTATGACCACTGGATTTTGTTTCAGGGGACGCGCGCTTGCATGGAAAGCCCGAAAGGGTGCCCTGCATCCCAAGTCTTCACTGTTGTTGGCATGTATGCAGGTCTTCGGTGTTTGTTTGGTCCCTGTTCATGTTTAGTAGGCTGAAAAAAACAGTTTTTTGCTCATACCAAGGGTTGGAAAGGAGTAATGACGGAACTAGACTAGGGTCGCGTATGTACTGAAAACACAAAAAAGGGTAGTTTGACGGAAAAGGAGATGGCAGGATAATCCTAAGGCAGTGGCTCTTTGAATGCTACCTGTTTTTCAACCAATACCCGCATCCCCCAGGATGGATCACCCTTAAGTCTGCCGATTTGGCGACGCTTTCGATTCGGTTCAGATGTAATCGGGGAGTAATCCGGGCTCAACGAGTCATGCACGCCCTCCTGATTGGGCTCCCTGAGTTCAACTGGACTTAGTCCCTTTTCGGGTTTGGACTATTTGTTCGTGGTGCAAAAAACAGTTTGGCAACTTGTTTTGGCCCATCCACTCGATCGGATGGAAACTCGGCCGAGTCGCTTACTTGCTGGTGCTCAGCAGGGAATGCGGGTATGAACCCAGGTTTTGGTCAACCTTAGTGGAAATCACCAGTTGGATGCTTTTTCTCTCGGGGTCATTCCATGTCTCATTCCCTGCATGAGTCTCGCAGCAGCGAGCTCCACTTGGAAGCCATGTTTGAAACAACAACGTTTGGCATGTTTTTGGGGAAACGGTTCATTCCGGTTGGGGTTTCTGAGTTCGGTGCCCAAGAAAACGGACCTCGCAAATTGCAGCACTTGATTCCGGGGCTTCAACCGAAAATGGCCTCGGAACCCACGGGGAAACGGATCGTTCCAGGGCCAATGTCTTCGAACATCGAAAATCGTCGATGTTTCCCTACGAGCCCAAGAGGCCTTTGGAGGTTAAAGGCCCTCATATTTAGAGTCTTGGGCTCCTTGGGACAAATCTACCTGGCTGACAACAGTCGAAATTTCTCGTAAATCGAACTCGAGTTGGATTTTTTGTTGGCCCCGCATTTTCATCTAACAGGGATGATATTGCGGATGGACTTTAAATCCATTGCACCAAATCCAAGAACCCTGGAATGACGGGAGTGAGCCGTTTGATCCGATTCCCCGGGCGGGAAACAACTTTTTCGAAGGCCGGAAGCTGGCGAAGCACACCACCAACACCGCGGACGAGAAGCAGCTCCAGTCGCTCAGTTGCCCAAAGCGAATCGACCTTACAAAACCTTTGGGTTTTCCCGTTTTGGTCCATTTTCAGTCATGGCAACCCAAGAGGTGATCACCTTTAATGCCAGGTTTTTCTAAGGGGCAGCTGAGGTCGCATTTGAAGCGCTTGGGGCTGAACTCCATCCCAGGCGCCGGCCTTGCGGTGCCTTTTGCGGTGCCTTGCGGTGCCCCACCCCCCAAAAATGGAAGATGGGGCCGGGGGGGGGGGGATTTCTGGAGATCTCCAGGTGGTGGTAACCCATTTTCCCTGGAAGACACATGGAATTCTCAGTTGCCCAAGGCCGACCTCTTGACCTTTTATCTCCAGGTCTTTTGGGCAAGTGAGAATTGGGGACCCAAAACCCCCCCCCAAAAAAATGGAGAAAAGGGGCGCCCTGAGGGGAAGCCTGTTGAGGGTTGCGTGTTCTGGTTTTTATGTTCATCTCAAATCTGTGTTCAGCTTGTTTATCGTTTTCGTTAAGGTAATCATTTGGGTAAATTGTCGCCTTGTTCATTGTTGGGCTGGGGGCCGACATTTTTTTCATTTGAAAGAGTTAACCCTTTTAGTAGTTATAATGTTCTGGGGTGTTGGTGGTTCATTTGATTTATCTTATTCTTTGTTCAAGTCATATTCAAAATCTGATGAGGTTTCAATGTATTCTCTTATTTCTTCCTGTGTTGTTTGTGGTTTGTTTTCTTTTGTTGTTTCTTCCGTCTTTGGTGGTTTTGGATTCTTAACATTGTTGATGTGTTTTTTGGTTCTTTCGTGTTCTGCTTTGTGTTGAGGACTTACCATACATCCACAGTATTGACATTCAATTGTTTGTTTTATGTATTCTTCCCTGTATTCTTTCATGTATTGTTGTTTGTGTTCTTTGTTTTGTTCATAATAAACCTTTGCCTTCTCTTGTATTTGTTCTTTGTGTGCTTCTCTATACCGTCGTTTGCTCTCCAAGCATACATTACATTGTTTTCTTCCTTCGTTGAACTTTTCTAACAATTGAAAGACTTTACATTTGGAACATTGCTTTTTGTCTGTCATCGGTCTCTATATGTTTAAGGGGTTATTTATTTAGATAAGTTTAAGGGGTGTTATAGGTTAAAAGTTCAGTATAATTATAACCTGTAAGATTTTACATGTTATTATTATATTATGATTATAATTTCAGTTCAGGATAATAATCTAATTGGTTTGTCTTACTTCTTTCATACATCATTTTAAAAATAATATTAACATCTCTCACTGTATTCTGAACATTAAACTTTTTACTTTCAATAAATAATTTGATATTTTCTTTAACATCTTCTCCTTTCTCTTGACTATAACCCAACATCCATAATATATCATCAATCATTTCATATTTTTTCTTACTGATTTTAAGAAACTGTTTAACACAATCGTAAGGTGGTATTTTATTTACAGTTAGAAATATTAAAATATCATCTTCTACATTTCTATTATGTATTCTTTTTATTCCCAACAGACATTTGATTAAAAATTGATTATCTCTCCATGTTTTACAATTTTTACATATGTCTTCTTCACCATCCATTGAATAATTAATAATATTATTCACTATTTCATTAGGTAAACTCAATTTATACAATTCCATATTTTCTTTTTTGAAGTGACAACAATCATAGCATTTTTTATCGATATAATTATTGATTCCATCACCGTTCATTTTTCTCTTAATATATAAGGTAATATGTCTTTAAGTAGTTTTGGCTAGGGGGCTGCTGGTCGGCTGGTCTGGGTTTCAGGTTTAATTTAAATGTCTTAACCTTCGTGTTAGATTATAAAACAATGTTTACCCATATTATAATTAAATATTATGAATAATCTAATTCACTTATCCTCTCCATAGTCCTATTCCACCGTATCATTGTTCAATTACTCTCATTTCAACGAGACACGGTCCCCTATTTTGGGGACACCCAGTCCCCCATTTTGGGGACACCCAGTCCTCTAATCCCCCGTTTTGGGGACACCCAGTCCCCCATTTTGGGGACACCCAGTCCTCTAATCCCCCGTTTTGGGGACACCCAGTCCCCCATTTTGGGGACACCCCGTCCCCCATTTTGGGGACACCTTGGAGACCCCACGAGATGATTAACTCGGTTTTCATTCCAAACTACAGAGGATGTCTAACACTAATTCAAACGGTATTTTATATAATTCTTCCTGTTTATGAAATATAGGATTATCACCCCATTCCGCCTTAGTTGTTGGTGGCAAGCGTTGAGCAGTTTCTAAATGTTTCCCATTTCTTATCTTACCACAATCCCTTTTACATAATGGTTTGGGTTTCCAAGTTGTTATGTTAGTCCAAAGCCTTGTTCGCTTCCTTCTCCAGCTTCAGTTGGTTGTAGCGTAGTCTATTGTATTCCTGTTTCTTTTCCCGGTTTTTTAGGTAATACTGGTGATAGTAATCTTTCATTTTCTCTGGGTTTGCTTCAACATACGCTTTGTGGTTTTGTAGTCGCTTTTCTTTGTTCTCGTAGTAATACTGTTTGTCTCTTTCTTTGTATGTCTCTATATGTGTTTCACGGTGTTTCTTCTTTCGTTGATTGATTTTGTCTTTGTCTCTTTCATGGCGTTCTTTGTCGCGTGCTTTTATTGTATCAACATTGTTGAAATATCGCTGTTTGAACATGTCCTTTTTATCTATGTAATATTCTTGTTTGTTTCTTCCTGCCTTTCTTTCATTTAGTTCTGCCTGCTGTTCAGCTATTATATCACCTTCTCTTTTTCGTAGTTGTTGTAAGTTGTGATATTCAAAATTCTCCAAATGCTCAATGAAGAAATTGTCTATACCAAGTCTGTTCATTTCTTGATGTATCAGCATTTTTCCACAATGTTTAGCATCATGCCTATGCTTTGCCATCCGTTTGTGTAGTGTTTGTTTAGTGCTTCCAATGTATATTTTGTTGTTCAATGTGTTTTTGATGACATAGATTTGACCCTTGATGATTTCTGCTTCTATGTTTTCCATAGTCTTGATTATTATAAGATACAATGTATTCTTTAACTATATTTGGTAAAGATTATGGAGAAATTAATTCTAATAATTTCATATTATTAGAACTATTTAGATAATTATTTTATGGAATAATGCCCATAAGGCAGTGAAGTGAAAGCATCAATATAAAACCTTTTGTTTTCATAATTACTGAGAGATTGCTTGACTTGAGACATTGAATATATTTGATGTGACTTACTTCTGATGAAGTTATATGTGATTTCATGCTTTTTGTTTTGAAATAATGCTTCGTGGTAGTTCTGATACGACAGTTCTTTTTTCACTTTGTGTTTCACTACACCTTTTGATTTCTTATGTTCATCAACCTCACCGTGTATTGTAAAATCATATGACTTTGGTTTGAGAGCTATGAATTTGGTAGTTATCTTTGAAGAGCATTCGTCCTTAAACATTCCTAAGACCTTTTTATTAGTTTTGTCATGACATGGATGCTCAACAGGATAGTCGCTAAAGTCCATATATTGATTTAATTCTTTGAAGTCCTTATAGATGTCCTCGGTGAATGTTTGAATTACATAACTGTCAGTATCTGTATATACTAATTTGATGTTTTCATTATACTTCTTTTTGAATACATCATAATAAAACTGATACATATGTAATTTACTTAAATCTAAAATCGTCATTCCTAAAAAGATTGGTTTATCCAGTTTCAGTTTTGCTTTAGTTTTCTCAACTCCTACAAGATTTTCATTTATTATAAATCTATTTTTGAAGGTTGGATTATTCACACATTTTTCATATCTAACTTCATTATCTACTAATTCAAAATCCATATGATTACGCTTGTCTTCCATGGTTTTTCCGTATATGCTATTATTCATTAATTTAAATAAATCTTTCTCAAAATCGCTTTTGGCTTCTTTCCTTTTACCAGTGTTGAAGTCAATCCACGGTTTCAACCATGCCCTCTGTTGAAACTTTATTATCCTATGGACTTTACCCAGTTTCATTCCCATTTTCAAATAATACTGTAAAGTCTTGATATGAACCACATATTTTTCTTTATCCTTTAGATTTAATATTAACTTACTTGTTTTCTCGTCCTTCGGGGTTTTTCCATCATAATATATTTTGAAAACTTGCTTTTGATAATCGGAAAGCATATTCACATTTACATTCATTATTTCAGGCGCTAGTGGATAGTCGGAGTGGAAGTCGTGCAATGTTTCGGGATATTCCAAATCAACTTCCATAATATAACCGAACTCATCGTTTTCATTCCATTTTTCAACAATGGGAGTTTTCTTTGCCCACTTGATATTTTTTAGCGGTAACTTCTGGGACATTGCTAAACCATACAAGTTATTAGCATCCAAGTAACTAATATGATTTGATGGCTTGTTCTCATCATATGCTTCCCCCATATACTTATTATTTGCCACTGCTAATTTATGACTGACTTGACACATACCACCTCTCATTCCCTTTTCAACCATCTCAAACATTTCTTGGTCATGCAATTGTTCTATTTCAACGCCAGTTTTTAGAAGCATCGCGTCCCATGCGAAATTTGGCAACGTATAATAATGAGCGGGGTCTAAACCGTAGTATTCCATACACAAGTCTCTAAAGTTTTCAAATACATCGGTCAGTAGTAAAACATCAGTTCTTAAATACAAGTCGTGATACTGCCCGAGTGTTCTAATCCCGAAGTGCTTCCATACTTTCAGTGCCCTTTCATAATCTTTATCGCTTACATGTTCTTCACTCAATTTACTGTAAAACGCTTCTTTCGGTGGTAAAGCCCTTTCCTTAAATCTTTCAAAATCATCAAAGTAGTCATAGGGATAAATACCCTTATCAGTCAATAAATCCAAATCTTCATCGGTTTTAACATACGGGTTTCTAACGCTGTATCTGAAATTGTTCTTCCAATTCTCACGCTTTTTATCATCCTCATATTTACTCAACTTCACCAACTTATCCAACGAAGACGATAAGAAACTGAAACTGTCCTTGAAACAAAGATTTTTAAAACCAAAGGTTATAAACTTTTCGCTGTTCTGAGCGATACATTCTATTTTAGAATTCTTGTTCAGTTCGTGAGCCTTGTTGATGATTAAGTGGGCATCATAGTTTTTAAGGTTATGAAGAAACACTGG